TCAGACTGGTTTGGGGAAAGATTACTTATGAATATGTGTATTATATCTCAATATAATTTCTTCAAAAAGAAGAAATTGACTAAATTAGAAGTTCCTAACTTGAAATCCTCTAAAGTCTAAGGAGTTTCAAAAGTTGGTAATGGATATAAAAAGTTTGGGACTCTTAGAATGAGTAATTATTGTCACTTTCTTCCGACCATAAAAGTCTGTAATACAAGGCTAACAGCTGCTTCAAATCTTTTTTGTGATAAGGATGTAGAAGGAATAAAAGTTTAAAACCACTGAAGTTACTCTGTTCCTATTATTTGGAGTAATCTGATTTGTTCACAGGGTATATCTAAAGGAGTGTAGCGTGAAATTGTATTGGCAAAGATCTGTTTCTGAGTTTTAAACATGCATAAAACTTGAGAGAATTTTATGGTGAACACTCATATATCCACCAAATACATACTATCGTAGTTAATATTTTTCTGTGCTTGCTTAATGACATATATATTCATTCATCAATCTTTTTTTTTTTTTTTCTTTTTTTGAGACAGAGTCCTCTCTTTTTCCTCAGCTAGAGTAAGTATAGTGGCATTGTCATAACTCACTGCAACTTCAAACTCCTGGGCTCAAATGATCCTCCTGCCCCAGCCTCCTGAGTAGCTGGGACTACAGGTGTGCTTCACCATGCTTGGCTAATTTTTTCTGTTTTTAGTAGAGACGGAGTCTCTAGCCCTTGCTCAGGCTAGTCTCAAACTCCTGACCTCCAGGGATCCTCCCAGACTTCCAGAGTGCTAGGATTACAGGTGTAAGCCTCCACGGCCGGCCCTCAAGCTATTTTTTTTTTAACACATTAACTGACATGTGAGTTGTATTGAACTCATACTAGTTTTGAGCCCAGGGCCTTGTAAAGCATATGTAACTCATGTGTCTCTTTACCTTCGGAGCCTCAAGAACTGTTTTTCAAGTTGCATATAACTCATGCACAGAAAACAATAAAAAATAGCAAATTTTTTATTAATTTAGAAAGGTTGTTTTGTTAGGAAGATTTTATTCTATTTTCCTAATAAAACACTATGGCCCCAAGGAAAAAAAATTTTTTTCTTGTGTGGCAGTCAGTGTGTTAAAATGTATTTCATAGTAAGTTGCAGGCATCATTACGTGTCAACTCTAAGGACTTCAGCATGCATATCATTAACTAGACTGTGAGATTTGTTTATAGTTTTTAAAATTTACATACAGTGATATGTATAATTTTTTATGCTGCATAAACCCATATAACCCAAACTATCAAGAAATGGAGCATATCACCCTAGAAAGTTCCCTTATGTTTCTTGCTAGTCAGTTCCTTCCCCATAACAGAAGAGTGGTTATGAGGCAACCACTCTTCTGATTTTTTTGTTTTACTCATAGATTAGTTTAGCCTGTTCTGGGACTTCATATATAAATGGAATTATATAGTAAGTACTCTGCTGTAGGGCTTCTTTCACTCAACAACATTTTTGAGACTCGTCCATCATGTTGTATGATTGAATTTTTTCTATTCATTCTTTTAATTGCTAAGTAGCATTCTAGCAATATACAGTGTTTATCCATTCTGTTGATGAGCACCTAGAATGTTTCCTGAGTTTCTCTCCTTTATTCTGTTAATGTGATAAATTACATTTATTGACTTTGTAATGTTAAACCAACCTCTTCTTCCTAGGATAAATCCCTCTTGGTCACAAAGTGTCGATATTTTTAAAATATTGCTGGAGATTATTTTTTCTGGACATCATATAGTTGGGTCGTTCTTTTTATCCCATCTGAGAATCTCTACTTTTTATAGGAAATGTCTATTCCATTGACATTTAATACAGTTGTCAAAATAGTCAGATTTCGGTTTTCATTTTGCTATTTGTTTTCTATTTGTTCCATCTTTTTTTATTGTTCCACTGTTCCTGCTTCCCTACCTTTTTTTGGGTTAATTGGATATTTTTCAAATTTCATTTTAATTTTTCTGTTATCTTTTTAGCTATAGCTCTTTGTACTATTATTTTTTGTATGTATGGTTACCATAAAGATTATAATATACATCCTAAACTTTTCAGTTTTCTTAAAGTTACTATTGTACCCATTCACGTAAAATATAAGAACCTTGCAACTATATAGTTCCATTTACTAGCCCTCAAGTTTTTTGCTCTCATTACCATATACATTACATCTATGTATGCTATAAATCCCAGAGTACAGTGTTATAATTTTTTCTTTAAACAGCTAACTTGGTATTAAGGGAGTTTAGAAAAAATAGCCTCTTATATTTGCCTACATATTTACTATTTCTGATACTTTTCATTCCTTCTTAAATATCTGAGTTTCCATCTGATACTGTTTGCCTTCAACCCAAATAACAACCTTCAGTATTTCTTACAGTGCACAAACTGCTGATGAATTTGCTTAGTTTTGTTTTTCTGAAAATATTTTTCTTTTACCTTTATTCTTTTTTCCCCCTTTATTCTTGTGGGATCTCATCTGAATATGGAATTCTGGGTTGATCTTCCCCCTGCCCCCAATATTTTAAAGATGCATTCTGTTGCTTTCTGGCTTCCATTACTTATGGTGAGAAGTCAACCATCTTTCATATTATTGTTCCTGTGTATTAGGTACATAAATGACGTTTTTGTTTTTTTCCTAGCTACTTTTGAAAGATTCTCTCTTTATATTTGATTTTTAACAATTTGGTTGTGTTGTACCCTAGTGTGGTTTTTCTTTATGTCTCTTTTACTTAGGGTTTGCCAAGTTTCTTCAATCTGTTAATTTATGTCTTTTACCAAATTTGGGGAATTTTCAGCTATTAATGTCTTCAAAACTTTTCCAGCCCCACCTGTTCTCTCTACTCCTCCTGGGATTTCCAGTTACCTGTATGTTAGATCTTTTGGTATTGTCCCACAGATCATAAGACTGTGTTCATTTTTTTTCAATGTTTTTTCCGGTTTTTCAAATTTAGATAATTTCTGTTAATATGTATTCAAGTTCACTGCCTCTTTTGTCATTTCAAATCTGTGGTTAAGCCTATCCAATGAATTTTTTATTTTAGATTTGTTTTAGATATTGTACTTTTTAGTTGTTCAGTTTCTATTTAGTTCTTTTTTACAGTTTCTTTAAAATATGTGTTCATTACTTTTGAGCATATTTTTCTCTACAGCCTTGACCATAGTTATAAAAAGAGATTTAAAATCCTTGTCTGCTTATTGCAAGTCATCTTGGAGTCTGTCTTTATTGATGATCATCTTTTCTCTTAAGTATGGGTAACATTTTCCTGTTTTATATCTAATACCTTTGGATTGTATCCTAGTGTGAATAATTCATTGTAGGAACTCTGGATTCTATTATATTCCTCAAAGGATATTGTTTTTTCTTTTTTGTTTTAGGAAGCAGTTAAATTGGCTGGGCAAAGACTCTAAACTCTGACTCTTTTGCAATGGGAAGCAGCTGAAATCTCCGTTCAATTCTTTTGGCGTTAGATGGGCTGCTTGACTTCTGCCTTGAATGTGTATTTCATGAGTCAGCCACAGATTTGGGCAGAGTTTATATGAAGAATTTACAGCTCTCTCCCTTTGGGATCCTTTCCTTTCTGGGAGATTTCCCCTTACCACCATTGTCCTTTTTGAGCTGATGGGTGTGCCCCAACTCTGTTCTCTAATTTTTCAACCAGAAAGACTAGGTTTTCATCCAAATTTTTAGTTGCCCTAGAGTCGTATCTTCAGACAAAGAGCCATAAGGGGGTGAGAGATGTATATTCAGAGCCTTTTCATTCTTCCAAGTATTCCTCCAGTTTATGCCTGCTTATTCAAATTCCAGTGCCCTCAGATCATTGTTTTTTATGTTTTTTTCCAGAATTCATAATTATTTTCTATAGGAGAATAGGTTTGATATTACTGGAAACAGAACTCTGTTCAGTTTTTTTTAATGTGTTTGTATTATTAATGTATATCATTAGCAGTGGATACAATGTTAGAGAGTCACCAGTAAATATTGAAATCAGTTTAAAATTCCTTTTTTGCAATTTGTACTATTTTTAATTCCTTTAAAGAATCTGTGTAGTTTGTTAATATGTTTGTAGACATAAATAGAGAACAAATCCTGATGATACTAGCTATTATTTCAGTGAGAAAAGCTTTTTCAAGTTACTCAGCTATAGGAGTCCATATATGATTGTAGTTAAAGGTTTCTTGATACTGAAGCTCAAACAGGTAATAGGAGGCTCAAATAGATAACTGAGATAGCAGTACTCTGTATTCCACTGTTATCTAGAGATTAGAATTAATCTTGAAATTTTTAGATACACTTGTTTAATTATCTTAGTATGTATAGTTTTTTTAAAAAACTATAATGTGTGAGTTATCAATCAAGTAGTTTGGTTCAGACATACAATATTTTAATCATGTTGATTTAAGTTTTAGTTCTTTTTAACTAGGAAGGAGTTAATAATCTTTATCCTCAGGAAAGGACTAGTCTAAGGTGGATGCTAATGGGTTCATGGGTAGTGACAATGCAAAAAATATTCTTGCTGCATTGCTAAGAACTGGTGTTCATGAAAGAAATAGACATAATCTAATGACATGTCCTTAGTTTTGAACTTCTTGCATGGTTTTGATAGCCTAACAAAATTTTCTCCTGTGGTAAGTTGGTATATAAGAACGAGAATAAGGAAATGTTCTTGCCTAAAAGAAATGAGAGGGTCCAAGGAAAAATAGATATAATGAAAATTAGTCCTCTTATATATTCTCTCTTTTGTTTATATTATTTTCTTAAAATTTTTAAACCCCTATCTTATTATATCAAGGTTCTTTTTGAAAGGGGACTCTTGAGTGCTTTTGTTATCTATAGAAATCTGTGACCTCTCAGTTTAGTCTTAGCCCTTTGGGGGAGTTTTGACACTATAATGCATTGACTTAGTTTAACACCTCTCACTTCCCTTAATGCTTTTTAATTACAAGGTAGGATTTTTTTTAAGTTTATGTGGACTATGTTTAGTACTTGAGAACTTTATGACAACTTTGATTATCTTAAATATCTTGATTTAATAAGCATGACTGCACTAGAAAACCCAAATGGTGCCAAATGATGCCAGTGCAATGTTAGTAAGCACAGTTAAGGCCATTGTGGATTTAGCTGACCACCGTGTACGGTGTTTAAAACTTGTTGCAGCATATAACATGAAGTATTTTTTCTCCACCCTGCTCCCCCCCCCCCATTTGTAGGAGGCCCTCTTCATTGCTCGCTTTAGTCCTCCGAGCTGTGGTGTACAAGTGAACAAGCTGTGGTACAAGCCTGTGGAACAGTTCATCTTACCGGAGGTACAGGGTGTAATAAAAAGACTGCAGTACCAATGCAGTCGCTCTTAGGAGTGGGTCTGTACTTTCAGGGGCAGGCACTTGATATTTTCCTGTACCAGGGCAGTTCTCCAGAGTGGTAGATGAGGGTACTAACTGTGGATGTACTAAAATGTAGTGCTCTGCATTTATACCTCCAAGGAACCTCCTATTGTGTTGGAGCTCCTTACATATTCTAGTTATTAATCCCTTGTCAGATGGGTAGTTTGCAAATATTTTCTCTCATTCTATGAGTTATCTTTTCACTTCGTTGATTGTTTTCGTTGCTGTGCAGAAGCTTTTTAGCTTGATGTGATCCTATTTGTCAAATTTTGCTTTCGTTACCTGTGCTTTGGGGTATTTCTCAAGAAATCCTTGCTCAGACCAATGTTCTAAAACATTTCCCCAATGTTTTCTTTTAGTAGTTTCATAGTTTCAGATCTTAGATTTAAGTCTTTAATCCATTTTGATTATCATAAACATCTTTTGATATAAATATATTCCCTTTTTTTTTTAATATAGACACAGTCATTCTCTTGCCCAAGCTGGAACTCCTAGACTCAGGCTCTGGAGTAGCTGGGACTACAGGTGCATGTCACCTGGCAAATCTTTTTATTTTTTAGTGACAGGGTCTTGCTATGCTGCCCAGGCTAGTCTCAAACTCCTGACATCAAGCGATCCTCTCTCCTCAGCCTCTCAAAGTGCTGGGATTACAGGTGTGAGCCACTGTGCCTGGCCTCCATTATTAGGCTCCATAGAATTACATTGTTTTGTTTTTGTTTTTATTTTGAGACAGTATCTCACTCTGTCACCCAGGCTGGAGTACAGTGGTATGATCATAGCTCACTATAACCTCAAACTCCTGGACTCAGGCAATCTTTCTGCCTCAGCCTCCCAAGTAGCTAGGACTACAAGCATGTGCCACATGCCCAGCTAATTTTTAAAAATATTTTGTGGAGACAAGATCTCACTATGTTGCATAGGCTAGCCTTGAACTCCTGGACTCAAGTGATTCTTCCACCTCATCCTCTGAAAATGCTGGCATTACAGATATGAACCACCATGCCTAGCCTGCATAGCATTACATTGTATTAATTAAATTATCATTTTAACTCTGTATTTGGATATTGATGTATTTCCAATTTTTCGGTGTTATGAAAAAGGTTATAGTGAACATCATTATACCTCTGTCTTATGTGCATAACTGGTTATTTTCTTAGGATGAATTGTTGGATCAAGGATATATACATTTTTAAGGTGTATGATTCCTTCATGGAGGGTGGTTTAGCAATTTGCATTAATTTGAATAATCATTAGCAGTATACTAGAGTGCCTGTTTTTCTACATCCTTTTATTCTTTTTAATTTCATATATGAACTTTTTTAAGTGCAGGGTGTACCATCAAAATTATCTTTTTCTTTTAATTAGAAGTAGTAGTTCAACTAAGTAGTACTGGCCAAGTGTTGGATCTTAGTTTTTGGCAGGAAGCCATTCTTTGGTTTGTTCATTCATTTACTCAGCAAATATTTATTGAGAACTTACTATGTGTCAAGCACTAGGGCCATATCAGGACACAATATGAAGATCTCTGCCCTTAAAGCAGCTTACATATGAGTGGGGAGAAAAGAGTTAACACTGATATTCTACTGAACTTACTGTGTGGGAGGCACTGGTGTAAGCACTTTTCCTACCTGAACTAATTGGTAAGCTCCTTTAGGATTGAAGCAAGTCAGTGATGAGAGTCCCTCCTTTCTAGTCAGGACTAGCGTGGGCAGAACCTAGCTCAGACTTTGTGTGATTCCCATAGGGAGAGTATTGTTACTCCGAGGAGACCAGGAGCACTAGCAGTGTGTTAGGTGCTATCTGGAAAGAGCTAAAGCCTGACGTAGGGTTCATTTTCACAAAAGACTTACAAGGATTGCTATGAGTAGGAAAACAGAAATGATCTACCTGGAATTAAGTAGGTATGTGAGGGCATGTTTGGGTGCAAGCGCCTGAGTGGGCCTGTGTGGGTGCAGCATGGACGAGTTTGAATCCCTGCTCTGCCACTTAATGGCTCTATGACCTTGTGTGAGGTACGTAACCTCACTGTGTCTGTTTCTTCCTCTGTAAGACGGAGGTGCTATACTACCCAGTTCAGAGGGTTTTCACCAGGGACCGTTTGGTACCCCAGGGGACACTTTCAGTTGTCAAAAGCAGGTGCTGGGGGATACTGGCAGCTAGTGGGTAGAGGGACAGGGATGATGCTAAACATCTGCAGTGTACAGAACAGCCCCTCACGGAGAAGAATTATCTGGCCCCAAATGGCAATGGTGCTGAGGCTGAGAAACTCTGTTCCAGAAGAGGCAGTCACACAGTATGAGGAAAAGAGGAAGAAAGTAAACGTTAATGCTTCAAGCTAATCACAGTTTTATGGACTCTGCTCTGTTTTCTTGGTCAGCCTTATAGAAAAAATTATAAAATTTGATTAGTCCATTTAAAAAAGTACTTTCCCTTAGACTATCCTTGTTCTTAGAAATACATGCTCACATGCTTAAAGATAAAATGTGATATCAGCATTTTACTGTTGAGTGATTCAACAGCAGAAATGATGTGTGTAGAGAGAGAAAACAAATGTGGCAAAACATGGACAGCTGGTTTGAAACCAGCCTGGTCGATGTAACAAGACCCAATCTCTGTAAAAAAAAACAAACAAAAAAAACTTTTAATTAACCAAGTATGATGGTTTGTGCATATAGTCCCATCTTCTTAGGAGGCTGAGGTGAGAGGGTAGTTTGAGCCCAGAAGTTCAAGGCTTTGATGAGCTATGGTCTCACCACTGCACTCTAGCCCGGGCAATAGGGTAAGACTCTGTCTCAAAAAAGAGTGAACAAATGGTGAGTCTAGGTAATTTGGATAGTGATTTGAACTTTTTTATAGGTTTGAAGTTTTTCAAAATAAAAGCTGAGTTGAGAGAGACAGGTTAACCTTCCTTGCTGGTGTTCAGGATGGTACAGTCTGGCAGTGGGTACCAATGATGAGACATACTCAGCCAAAATAGTAAGTGGCCATTTTAGTTAAGACTTTTTTTTTTTTTCTTGAGACAGAGTCTTGCTTTGTTGCCCAGGCTAGAGTGAGTACCTGTGGCGTCAGCCTAGCTCACAGCAACCTCAAACTCCTGGGCTCAGGCAATCCTGCTGCCTCAGCCTCCCAAGTAGCTCCCAAGTACAGGCATGCACCACCATGCCCGGCTAATATTTTCTATATATATTAGTTGGCCAATTAATTTCTTTCTATTTATGGTAGAGACAGGGTCTCATTCTTGCTCAGGCTGGTTTCGAACTCCTGACCTCAAGCAATCCGCCCGCCTCGGCCTCCCAGAGTGCTAGGATTACAGGCGTGAGCCACCACACCCGGCCTAGTTAAGACTTAACAACTGTAGCCTTGTGATCTTTATTTCCCATCAAGCTTTAAGCTAAATAGACTTTTGATCTTTTATTACTTTTGAGTAAAATTTTTTTCTTTTAAAAACAAGCAATTATTTAATAGTGGCTACACCTGGGGGTAGGATTCTTTTTTTAATTTTAGTTTATTTTGGGGTAATACTTTGCCATAAAATAGAGTGAGTGCTCCATCTCAGGGATAGGATTATTGCTGAGTTTTATTTTCTTTTTGTGTATCTATTTTCTAAATGTTCTGTAGTAAATATATATTAGTTTTATAAGTGGAAAAAATAACTTGAAAATTTAAGAAGATTCTCTCCTTGTGTATAAGATCCTATGTTTGTTGAAAATATGTTTTTCTCTTTTGTTTTACCTAGTCCTGTGACAGATTAGAAAATGTGTTTAATTTTACATAAAATTAATGCATCAAGCTGATTGGGCTTCTTAGTTCAGAAAAATGATAGTGATGGTTATACCTATATATCATCAGCAAACAGTGGCAGAAGAAAAACTGTTCAGTCCATTTAAGAGGGAAAGCAGATGACTTTTTCTTCATCTTACTCCCTCCACACTTGATGGCTGCCAAAATAACATGTCAGCAATGTGGCTTGTCAAGTAAGCAGATCTCCTGTAGCGTTCTCATTGTGTAGCTCGCTAAAGCATAAATGTCAGTGGGAGTCACAGGTTTAGATGAAGACTGCTGTGTGTTTCTCTTAAAACATTTACTTCTCTAATTTCATATTTTCCTTAATAGTTGAAACTTGAAACTAATTTTAGTAAAAAGCAGACTATTTTTGTTCACCTGAGTTACTAGAGATTAGTAACCTGAGTTACTAGAGATTAGTTACTAGAGATTAGCATTATGGATTATTATATGCTTTTTTTTAGTGAAAGTCGAAATTCTTTAGATGTAATCTACAATAAGTTGTTAGTGTTCACAGGCACGAAAGTATTATATATATTTAAGCTACTCTTGTTTGGATGAGAAATTAGAAGTATAACACAAAAGCATTAACATGCGAAAGGGGATGCAGATAGCTTGCTTATGTTATGGGAGAGATAATTTATGATATCTCATTTTTCTGACCTATACCATGTTGTTTTTTTCCTAACTTTTATTTTGGTTTTATGATCTTAGCTGGGAATTGCCATAAACAGGTCATTTTGCATCTTAAATGACTCCTGGGTTTATAATTTCCTTATGTCAGAATAAAAAGTAGGCATATGAGAGAAGAAGTGAAGAATAGAAATTAAACTGTGTTATGGACCAGGAACAGGTGTAAGAGAGGAGGAGAAGATACAGTTCCTCCCTTGCTTAACAACAAAACAAGGCTGGGCACAACACCTTACCCTATAATCCCAGCTACTCTGGAAGCCAAGGCGGGAGGATCACTTGAGGCCAGGAGTTGGAGACCAGCATGGACAACATCGTGAGACCCCATCTGTACAAAAACTTCAGAAGATTAGCCAGGTGTGGGGGCGCATGTCTATAGTCCCAGCTACTTTGGAGGCTGAGGCAGTAGGAACCCTTGAGCCCAGAGTTTAAGGCTACAGTGAGCTATGATTACACCACTGCACTCCAGATTTAGTAACAGAGCAAGACCCTGTCTCTAAGAAAAAGAAAAAAGAACCAAGATATATCAGAATGATATGTGGTATTAAGAAAATAAAACAGGTTGATGTGATAGATTTGGGGAGTTGGGGCCTCCTGTGAGATCTCCGGAGAGAGCCTGTCTGAGGAGATGACAGTGGAACTGAGATCTGAACAGGGCTAAGGAGCCAGCTGTGCACAGAATTAAAAATGGGGACATTGGAGAAATTAGAAGACGTTGGGATGTAAATGTACATCAGATCTTGGGGCAGGAGAGCGTAACTTTCTAAGCTTAGAATTTAATAGTAATAATCACAGAGGAAAAGCTTGTCAGAGTGGCCAAGGTAAGATTTATGGACTTTTGAATTAAAAAAAAATATAATGTAATACTGAGTGGCAGACAATGCTAAAAAAATATTTTAGCCTATAAAATATGCACAGGATTAAGGTCATTACCCTACAAAAACCTCACACAGATTAATAAGAAAAATAGAAGACTTGGGAGCTAAATGGCAAAAAAGCATGACAGGGCAGTTCTCAGAAGAGAATGTTCCATTCATAAGCATCACTAGAAATCAGAGAAATCCAACTAAATGAAGAATCATTTTTTAAAAATTTACTTATCTTAGACTACTTTTCTTTTACTAAAATCCTGTACTAGGGAGAGTGCAGTGCAGCTGATATTCTCATAAATTGCTAGTGACTTTATAAATTAGTGAAAATGCTTATGTAATCAGTTTGGCAATGTGTACCAAAATCCACAAAAAATATCTCTTTCTTGTCCTAGTACCTATGGGAATTTATTTTAAATAAAAAACAAATTGTTGGGGGAAAATAAACATTTATACCAAAACATACCTACATTCTTTTTGTAGATGTTTGGTAGTAACCGAATATCTGCCAATAGGGAAATGTTTGAGCAAATCAGAATGTATCCACTCAGTGGGATGTTATACAGTAATGAAAAAGCATGCCTGTAACAGCCACAGCAACAAAAGGAAATGCTTTTGATACAATGGGAATTGACAACCAGCAGCATGTAAAATCATCTATATATAATTTTTTGTAATTGTTTTTTATATGTGCATGGAAAATATGGTTAAGAATATACACTAAGATGTTAACAATGGTGTGCCAGAGTTGTGGGATAAAAATTTTAACTGATATATCTTGGAAAAAAATTAACTTTTCTCTGAAATCTTACCTAAAAACTAACTTAAAACCTAAAAGATGACAATAAAAGAATTGACTCACTATTCATCTTTCCACAAAAGAGCTTTGAAGGTACAATCGTGTGGGAGAGCCAGGACCTCCACGGCCTTGTGTCAAGAAATCTTCACAAAGTGGCAGTAAATGATGGAGGGGGAGTTTTCAGAATCATTACAGTAAGTCATTCTTTTGTTTTTGTTTTTATCTTGTTTAGTAACATTAGCTTGTTTCTGATGTATAAAAGTGTTGTAAAATTTATTTTTATACCAATCTAGACAGTATGAAACAATAATTCTTATGTGTTTTAGAACATATTGTGGTAGAAAATGTTGAGTTACCATAGTAAAAACAAAAAAACTCAAATGTTCTATATGATTCTCTAAGTCCAGTGTTAGTGAATATACAGGTTTGCCTTAAGATTGGTACATTTTTAAAGTGTGGTATTTTATTTCTGAATAATGTTTAAGTTAGCATTCTTTAAAAGAATGCTTGCTTAGTAGTATTTAGAATATTAAGTATCTCACATTGATAGTAAAATGTCAGTTAAAATACTATAGATAAAAATATTAGAAAATAAGATCAAGTACCTACTTTCATTTATATTGCTGAAGCAACTCTGAGATTTCTGACTCGTATTTCTCATTTATTCAAATTTGCTTCAAATTTAATATAGCTTGACAGGTAAATTTCTCAAGGTAAAATATAGGAAGACTTAAAATCATGAACTTCAGTAAATAAGTGTTATGTGGTGGTGTCTTAGACAATCTTTTATTTTCCTTGATGTTCTGGTCTAATTAGGAATGCACTGGCATTTAAATTTACAAGCTTAGTGATTTCATTAAATATTAATCTTATTCATATGAATTAATTTGTGAATTTGAAATGAATATCACATGATATGTTATTGCTCATTCAAAAACCATTTACTGTACAGCATTTGTAAGGCAGGCAACGGTAGCAGCCAAAATAGGCCCATCACTCACTCACAGTGGAACTTATAGTCCAGTGAGGAAGAAAGACATTAAACAGACCCACAAATTCATATGTAATTACACAGTTAGACTTGTAGGCCATGTTTAGGGTCTAGGATTTTATCTTTTATTATGAAGATTATTTGTTTAGGATACAAAGTTTCATGGAATTTAATTGTAATTTTCTTTGCTTATTTTTAAGACAAATGCATTTAATATCTTGCTTCCTTTTCTGTTTATGAAAACTTAAAAATATCCATTACATGCCAAAATTCTGTAGTATTTGAGTTGGTTACACTAAAGGAAATAAGTTTGTTTCTGAGTTGAGGACTAGGCTCAAATGTAAATACACAAATGATCTACTTTGGGGGTAAAAAAATAGTTGTAGAGAGCTAAAGACAGCTTAAACATTCAGCTAACCTTAAAAAAATTGCCAGAATAGGGAAACTATATGGAAGATTAATAAAATAAAAAGTTGGTTCTTTGAAAAAATAAACAAAATTGACACGCCTTTGGCTAGACTAAGGAAAAGCAGAAAAGAAATCTCTAATAAGTTCCATCAGGAATAATAAAGGAGAAATTACAACTGATGCCACAGAGATACAAGATATAATTTATGAATACTACAAAAACCTTTATGCACATGAACTGGAAAATGTGGAGGAAATGGACAAATTCTTAGAAACACACAGCCTCCATGGGCTCAACCAGGAAGAAATAGAATTCCTGAACAGACCAACATGAAGTACTAAAATTGAAACAGCAATAAAAAAACTTCGTAAAAAGAAAAGTCTTGGGCCGGGCACAGTGGCTCATGCCTGTAATCCTAGCACTCTGGGAGGCCAAGGCAGGAGGATTGCTCAAGGTCAGGAGTTCGAAACCAGCCTGAGCAAGAGCAAGACCCTGTCTCTACTAAAAATAGAAACAAATTAAGTAGCCAACTAAAAATATATAGAAAAAATTAGCCAGGCATGGTGGCACATGCCTGTAGTCCCAGCTACTTGGGAGGCTGAGGCAGAAGGATTGCCTGAGCCCAGGAGTTTGAGGTTGCGGTGAGCTACACTGACGCCATGGCACTCTAGCCTGGGCAACAGAGTGAGACTGTCTCAAAAAAAAGAAAAGTCCTGGACCAGATGGTTTCACACCCGATTTTTACCACACCTACAAAAAACTGGTGCCTATCCTGCAGAAATTATTCCACAACATTGAGAAGGATAGAATCCTCCCCAACACATTTTATGAAGCCAACATAACCCTGATACCAAAATCAGGAAAGGATGTGACAAAAAAGAAAACTACAGACCAATATCTTTTATGAATATAGATGCAAAAATTCTCAACAAAATCCTAGCTAACTGAATCCAGGTGCTTATCAAGAAAGTAATCCATCACGACCAAGTGGGCTCATCCCAGAGATGCAGGGATAGTTCAACATAAATGTAATTCACCTAGAATAAACAGAAGCAAAAACAAAGACCATATGATCCTCTCAGTAGACGCAGAAAAAGCATTTGACAAAATTCAACACCTTTTTATAATAAGAATGTTTAACAAAATAGGCATAGACGGGGCTTACCTAAAAATGATACAAGCCATATGTGACAAACCCACAGCCAACATCATACAGAATGGGGAAAAATTGAAAGCATTCCCACTTAGAAGTGGAATAAGGCAAAGTTTCCCACTATCTCCACTTGTATTTAACTTAGTGCTGGAAGTCCTTGCTATAATAGTCAGACAAGAGAGTGGAATTAAGGGCATCCAAATGGGGGCAGAAGAGATCAAACTCTTACTCTTTGCTGATGATATGATATTATATCTAGAAAACCCCAAGGATTCAACCAAGAGACTCCTCGAATTGATAAATGAATTCAGTAAAATCTCAGGATACAAAATCAATACACACAAATCAGAGGCATTCCTGTATGCCAATAATAGTCAAACTGAGAACCAAATCAAAGACTCAATTCCCTTCATAATAGCAACAAAAAAAAGTACCTAGGAATATATTTAAGGAGGTAAAAGATCTCTCTCTACAGGGAGAACGATGAAACACTGAGGAAGGAAATACCAGAGTACATAAACAGGCAGAAAACCATACCATGCTCGTGGCTCGGCAGAATCAACATTGTTAAAATGTCTATACTACCCAAAGTGATTACAGAGTCAGTGCAATCCCTATGAAAATACCATCATCATTTTTCACAGATATAGAAAAAATAATTTTATGCTTCGCATGGAACCAGAGAAGACCCCGTATAGCAAAAACAATCCTAGGCAATGAAAACAAAATGGGAGGTATCAATTTAGCAAACTTCAAACTATACTACAAGGCTTGGTATTGGCACAAGAACAGGGACATTGACCAGTGGAACAGAACAGAGAACCCAGATATAAAACCATCCTCTTACAGCCATCTAATCTTTGACAAAGTAGACAAAAACATACACTGGGGAAAAGAATCCTTATTCAATAAATGGTGCTAGGAAAACTCAATAGCCACATGTAGAAGACTGAAACAGTATCCACACCTTTCACCTCTCACAAAAATCAACTCACACTGGGTAACAGACTTAAACCTAAGGTGTGAAACTATTAGAATTCTAGAGGAAATCATTGGAAATACTCTTCTAGACATTGGCCTAGGCAAAGAATTTATGAAGAAGACCCCAAAAGCAATCACAGCAACAACAAAAATAAATAAATGGAACCTGATCAAATTAAAAAGCTTCTGCACAGCCAAAGAAACTTACAAGAGCAGACAACCTACAGAATGGGAGAAAATTTTTGCAAGCTACACATCCGAAAAGGGCTGATAACTAGAATTTATTTAGAACTCAGGAAAATCAGCAAGAAAAAATTAAACAACTCTATCAAAAAGTGGGCAAAGGACATGAACAGAAACTTTTCAAAAGAAAACAGAATAATGGCCAACAAACATGAAAAAAATGCTCAACATCTCTAATCATCAGGGAAATGCAAATCAAAACCACAATGAGATACCATTTATCTCCAGTGAGAATGGCCTTTATCAAAAAGACCCCAAACAATAAATGTTGGCTTGGATGTGGAGAGATAGGAACACTCCTACATTGTTAATGGGACCAAACTAGTTCAACCTCTGTGGAAAGCAATATGGAGATAACTTAAAGAGATACAAGTAGATCTACCATTTGATCCAGCAATCCCATTACTGGGCATCTACCCAAAAGAGCAAAAGACACTCTATAAAAAAAGACACCTGCACTCGAATGTTTATAGCAGCACAATTCACAATTGCAAAGATATAGAAACAACCCAAGTGCCCATGAATACACGAGTAGATTAATAAAATGTGGTATATGTATACCATGGAGTACTATTCAGCTATAAGAAACAATGGTGATATAGCACCTCTTATATTTTCCTGGATAGAGCCTGAACCTATTCTACTAAGTGAAGTATCCCAAGAATGAAAAAATAAGCACCACATGTACTCACCAGCAAATTGGTTTCACTGATCAACACCTAAGTAGACATAAAGGAATAACATTTATCAGGTGTTGGGCAGATGAGAGGGGAAGGAGGGGATGTGTATATACATACACAATGAGTATGATGCGCACCATCTGGGGGATGGACATGCTTGAAGCTCTGACTCCAGGGGGTGAGGGGGAGAAGGCAACACACACAACCTAAACGTTTGTACCCCCATAATATACTGAAATTTAAAAATATATATGTCAGGTAACTTAGTAGCCTACTCTAAGAAAGCCCATGTGCAGGTAAAGGTTTTCACCATAAATGTATAGAGCTAAGAGTTTTCATTAAGTCTGACTGCCTTGCCAGTAAGTGATGATATCAGAAAATTTTTGAAGCTGTATTAAAAGCCAAGTTGTGACCTTTTAGAGAGAAGTTAATAAACAGAAAACACTATTGAGTTCTAAACAAGCCAGAACAATATAGAAATATACAATAAAAAAATAAAGAGTATATAATTTTTATGAAACTACAAGATTAGAATCTATAGCATTCACCTTTAGTAATTTTCTCAACATTTGGATACAAACATTTTCAATTACATCAGCCAGCTCGGTGGCGCACACCCATAATCCTAGCACTTTGGGAGACCAGGGTGTGAAGATCGCTTAAGGCCAGGAGTTCAAGACCAACCTGAGCCAGAGAGCAGGTTCTACAAATCATGAAAAATTAGCTGGGCATGGTGGTGCATGCCTGTATTTCCAGCTGCTCAGGAGGCCGAGACAGGAAGATCACTTGAGCCCAGGAGTTTGAGGTTGCTGTGAGCTATTAGCCCACGTGTCAGAGCTGTCTCAAAAAAAAAAAAAAAATTAAATGACAAGTTGCCACAATAAACTCAGAACACTCTACTAGCCTTAAAACATTGTTTTGTACAGTACAACTCTGCTGAAAAGATCTGTTTAAAAAAAGAATAGTGAAAGAATGGCCTCTTGATTAGATGAGTATGTAGAAAACCATAAACCCGATCTACTGAACTGCAATTCTGACAGTCTGATCCAGCCCACAGCAGCTAGAGAATAGCTCCCGTAGATGTGCCATAGCAGTATACAACATATAGAAGTGAAGAAACAGCTCAGTATACAACATACAGAAGTAAAATGGCTCAGTAAAAGGGCATTGAATAACTCATAAGGTGAAGAAAGGTAGCTAATTGTAAAGGATCCTCTAATCCTAAGAGGTAGAAAGGACTGCTGTTGGCTTTTGGCATAGTAGTCTCGAGGCACCTTCAACAGCATCAGTAATCAATAGGGTTGTATCTGAACTATCTAGGTCAGACTGTTGATTTAGAGGAGCTTTTCTCTGCATGGACACTTACTTTGAAAATATACCGAGATGTATTTGAACTCAGGAGAATTTTCGGTCTCCAGAAAATCAAAGGTGCTAATATTGTTTTCGAAAAGTGATAGGGTTAGGATTTCAAATAAATTGGTTTTTGTACTATTATGGTAACAAGTACAAGAATATGATTTTGTATAATTTGGAATTTTGAACACTGTATGGCCTGTTGAATATACCTTTTCTTTAATATTGTAATCAAATAACAAAAATAGTAGATTACTATATGTCATATTGTAAGTCATATTGTGATATGATAAGTCTCAAATGCACCAACATCTTAGATGGGTTTATCTGCTGCAGTGGAGTCGTATTACGACTTGTCAAATCAATTTTAAAACACAAATTTATGTTTTGTGATAAAACATTGAGCACAATTCTATTATTCCTTTCAGATTGAAAAGGGTACATTGCCTCATGAGTTCATGGAAGGTGTGGAGGGAGTCGCAGGTGGCTTTATATATACTATTCAGGGTAAGTTGGCTAGTTGAAAGTTGAAAAGCACACTGAATCTCGTGTATTGAATCTCACTTTATACTTTGACATAAAAGGTGATTTGGTTTTTGTTTTTGGTCATTTAAAAAATAGCTTTATTGAGATAAAAATTCACCCTTTTAAAGTGTGTTCAATTCAGTGGTTTTTAACATATTCATAGAGTTCTGCAACCATCGCCACTAATTCCAGAACATTTATATCACTCCAAAAAGAAGCCCCATTAGCAGTCACGCCCCATTCTCCCCTCCCCCCATCCCCTAACAACTGCTAATGTTTCTTTCTCTGTGGATTTGCCTATTTTGAACATTTCATATAAATGAAATTGTACAATAATGTGGTCTTTGTGTTTAGCTTCTTTTGTTTAGCATACTGTTTTCAAGGTTTGTCCATGTTGTGTGTGTATGTATATATATCAGTACTTGAATGGCCATATAATATTCCACTGCATGCATAGATATACCCCATTTTATTTATCCATTCATTAATTGATGGACATTTAGATTGCTTCTGCTATTTGGTTAATGATAAATAATTCTGCAGTTAATATTTATGTACAGGTTTTTGTGTGGTCAAATATTTTTATTCCTCTTAGTAAATACATAGTAGTAGAAGTGCTGGCTCATATGATAATTCTACGTTTAATCATTTGAGGCACTACCAGACTTTTCCAAAGCAGCTGCCCATTTTACATTTTCACAGTCAGTGTATGAGGGTTCCAATTTCTCCACAGCCTTGTCATCACTTATTATTGTCTATCTTTTTTGCTATACCTATCCTAGTGGGTGTGAAGTGGTATCACATTGTGATTTTGATTTGTATTTCCATAGTAACTAATGATACTGAGAGTTTTTTCATGTGTTTATTGGCCACTTGTATATCTTCAGAGAAATATTTATTCAGATCCTTTGCCCATTTTTTAAATTATTTTGTTCTTGAATTGTAAAATGAATTCTTTGTAAGTGAGCGCTGCATCTGGCCACTTTCTTGGTGGTGTCCTTTAACACAAAAAAAGGTGTAAATTTTGATGAAATCCAATTTTCGTCCCTTGTGTTTTTGGTGTCATATCTGAAAAACCATTGTCTACTCTGAGATCACAAAGATCTATGACTTTGTTTTCTTTCAAGAGTTTTATAATTTTAGCACTTACATGTAGGACTTCTATCACATTAAGTTAATTTTTGTATATGGTGGGAGGTAGAGATTCTACTTCATTCTTTTGTATGTGGATATCCATTTGTCCCAGCACTCATCTGTTGAGAATCGGTGACTGTAAATGTAAGGATTTATTTCTGTACTCTCCATTCTGTTCTGTGGATCTACATGTCTATCCTTATACCAATACCACCATCTTGATTGTGTGGCTTTGTAGTGAGATTTGAAATCTGGAAGTGTGAGTCCTCCAACCTTGTTCTTTTTCAAGCTTGTTTTGGCTATTCTGAGTCTCTTGCATTTGCAAATGAATTTTAGGATCAGTTTGTCAATCTCTATAAAAAAAACCAAAAAACAGCTGGGATTTTCAAAGGGATTGCATTTATTCTAGAGATAAATCTGAGGAGTTTTGCCATGTTAACAGTATTAAGTCTCTGAACATCCTTGAGCATGGGATGTCTTTCCATTCATTTATGTGTTGTTAAATTTCTTTCTATGGTGTTTGGTGGTTTTCAATGTAAAAAGCTTACACTTCTTTTGTTAAATTTATTCTTAAATATTTATTTTGTAATGCTATTGTAAGTCGAATTTTTTAAAATTTAATTTCCAGATTGTTCATTGCTAGTAGAAATACAATTGATTTTTGTATATTGATCTTATATGCTACAACTTTGCTAAATATGTCATTTTTTGGTTAATAGTTTTACAGATGCTTTAGGCTTTTGTATATATAAGATCATGTCATATGCTAATAGAGGTAGTTTTGCTTCTTCCTTTCCAATGTGGATATCTTTTATCTCTTTTGCTTATCTAATTGTCTCAGCTAGAACATATGGTACAATATTGAATAGAAGTAGCAAAAATAGACACCCTTTCTTGGTATATATTAATTTAATATATTTATACTCATTTTTCAGATATATGCAGTTAAAACAAAGTATATGTAATTCATTAGTCAAAAAGGCTTATATTTAATTTCTGCTCTCATCTTATTACCAAACATTTTCCTGTTACTGCAGTTTTATAACACTTTCATTTTCCTTCAAGTATTAAATTGTACAAACACTCCTTGACTTATGGATGTGGTTTACATCCTGATAAACTCATCTTAAGTTGAAAATGCATTTAATACACCTAACCTGCCAAACATTATAGCTCAGCCTCTAGCCTACCTTAAATGTGCTCAGAGCACTCATATTAGCCCACAGTTGGGCAAAATCATCTCACAGAAAGCCTAATAGAGTATTGTACCTCTCATGTGTTATGAAATACTGTATTGAAAGTGAAAAACAAAATGGCTGTATGCATACTCAAAGTACGGTGTCTACTGAACGCATATCACTGTCACACCATTGTAAAGTCAAATCATACATGGAACCATTGTTCAGTCAGGGGACCATCTGTATATACTTATCTTTAAACTGAGAGGATGTTAGAGCAGGATGTGAGAGTCAGAAGGGAGCAGAAGTCACTTAGGCCTGTGTTTCTCAGAGGGTAGTCTGTGGTCTGTCTGTAGTTCACCTGCATCAGAGTCAGAAAAGCGGCCATTAAAAATACAGACCTGCTGGGCTCCACCCCAGACTTAGTAAATCTTTCAGGCCTGGGGCCCAGGAATCTGTATTTCAGTAAGCATTTCTGAGAACCACTGATGTAGTTCCACCCTCCTTTTATAGATGAGAATGCTACAGTCCAGAGACAAGTGTAACTTGTCAGTATCTCACAGATAGTGGCAGAGGCAGAAGCCAAATGTAAGTCTTCAGACCCCCACCTCCATCCTTTCCATTTCCAGCAGAAAAAGTGTGGAGTGCTAAGTTACCTTTCATTTCCTTTCCCCACCCCTCAGCAGGTCACTTTCTTTTTATTCTTCAGAAATGTTCTTTAATCTGACCATTTGAGAAAATCCTGACTTCCCTGCCCTAGTGACAGAATTACTGCCTTAAATTAATCGGATCTGGGGACAGTCCCTGCACACATGTGACAAATGACTCATTAACTTGTGAGAGGGCAAATAAAATGTCTTTTAAGCATGAATAATCATTAATAATTTTTATTATGAAATATAAATATACCAAAAATAGTACCAAAAGAAACACCCAGGTACCCATTGCTCAGAATTATTAGATGTTTACATTTTGTCATATTTGCTTCCAATTTTTTTTTAAGAAATAAAAATGATAGGCACAGTTGAACTCTGCCCTCCACCACCTGTAGATCTCCCTAGTCCCATTCCTCTCCCTTCCCCTCAGAAGGGATACCAATGTCCTAAAATTTATGTGTACCCCACCCATTCTTATTTTTCTACTTTCTACTACATATTTACATACCTTTAAATAACATAGTTTGGGGTATTGTATTACTGATGTCATAGAATCATTAATATATATATCACTTACCAATTTTCACTCAACATTATTTTTCAGTGCCATTCCTTTTAACATGCAAGATCAGGTTAAGTTTTTTAACTGCTATAGTCCATTATGTGACTCTACCACAATTTGGGGTTTTTTTTTTTCCCTGTAAGTGGGCATTTAGCTTGGTTCCATTTTTTCCCCACAATTATAAGCAATGCTGCAATGAATATCTTTGTGACCATTTAAAAATAATATCTGTAGGGTATATCTACAAGTGGACTCAACCATAAGGTGTACATATATTCAGCCTAACTAGAAATCGCCAAATTGCAGTCTCTAACCCCCAGGCTGCAGACTGATTCCTCAGGGACCCAGCTATGAGGAGCTCTGCTATTGTGCCCCCCCACCCTATCTGTGGACAAATTATAGCAGGAGGTGAGCATCGGGGAGCAGAGCTTAATCTGTATTTACAGCTTCTCCCCATCGGTTGCATCACCACCTGAGCTCCGCCTCCACCTCCCCCCGCCCAATGCCACCACCCTCTAGTTGTACTTGAAAAAATTGTTTTCCATGAAACCTGGCAATGTATGAGAGTTCCCATTTTCCTACCTAAAGTTACAAACAACAGTATTTGTTAGGTTGCCTTGGGAAAAGAATTTTAGTGTACATTGTATTATAGGTTCTGGGTCTTAAGTTTGCAATAGCGTTTTTCTCCAGTTCTCAACTTTTCCTTTTTAGAAGGTGATGCTCTTTTACACAACCTTCATTCTCGCCCCCGAAGACTTATTGATCATCAAAGTAATCTCCGTGAGGAAGATGCCTTACTGAAGGAGGAAAGCAGCACCTATGATGATATTGTTTTTGTGGATGTCGTCGACACTTATCGAAATGTTCCTGCAAAATTATTGAACTTCTATAGATGGTAGGTTGTAAAAATGGTGGTTAGCTAGAACTTGTTTTATTTTTCTTCTTCTTCTTTTTTTTTTTTTCTTGAGACAGTCTCACTCTGTTGCCCAGGCTGGTCTCTGACTCAAACAATCCTCCCATGTCAGCTGCCTAAGTAACTGGGACTATACCTGGCTTATTGTTCTTTTGATGTAGAAATAATTTATTAACTTCAAACCTCTGAGATTTCAGTAAATAAAAACAAACCTTGGCCGGGCGCGGTGGCTCACGCCTGTAATCCTAGCTCTCTGGGAGGCTGAGGCGGGCGGATTGCTCAAGGTCAGGAGTTCAAAACCAGCCTGAGCAAGAGCGAGACCCCGTCTCTACTATAAATAGAAAGAAATTAATTGGCCAACTGATATAAAAAATTAGCCGGGCATGGTGGCGCATGCCTGTAGTCCCAGCTACTCGGGAGGCTGAGGCAGAAGGATTGCTCGAGCCCAGAGTTTGAGGTTGCTGTGAGCTAGGCTGACGCCACAGCACTCACTCTAGCCTGGACAACAAAGCGAGACTCTGTCTCAAAAAAAAAAAAAAAAAAAACCTAAAACTGCTGAACACCTGGGGCGTGACCTATTGTATCTGGGTTCTTTGTGAAGACAGCTTCTAAAATGCTGCCACTTATTTTGATTAGCAGATCCATAATGTAATGGTATTGACCTATCAAAAATACACAAGGCAAAAATTGATTGACCTTGAGTCATTCCTACTTGCCTTGCTTGTCTCAAGCCAGCATTAGAGGAAAATCGTTAAGTTCAGAAATGGTTCGTTTTCAATAGTATTTATACCTATCTGCCCATATTTCCCAGTTATTGTCAGTTGCATCCAGATTACTGATCTGAATTCTTTTCAACTGAATATCCACTTTATATTTCCATTCTCCACTCCATCCATTTAAAAACTACTTGCCCTGATTCTAAAACTTCTATATAGATGACTTACTGAAATTCCACAACTCTTAGAGTCTATCATATTTACAACGTCCTAGATCCTCCAGTGTTTCTTGGATCTTAGTAGTAATTTCTACTCTTATAATAACAGCAACAATAATATATAATAAGTGTTATTTTATATATAATAATACTAACATATACATAGTTGCTAATAGTATTAGTTACCCTAGGATCCCATAATTTGCTGTTGAGTTCACTGATACTGTCTACCTTGACTGCAGAACTAAAACCTTTGAACTCTGTCTCTGTCTAGGCTAAACCTATAAAGGGTATTTACATCTTTGTCTTTTCTTTTTTGAAACTTTATCCTGTTTCTTCATGAGGCCCAAGGTCTGTCTTTTTCTATTCTTCACTACTGCCCTAGGGAGAGTGGGAAGTTATCAAGTACAGTACTTTACGGACACGGTTCCCTGGTCCTGAGAGTTAGATGGTCTAGTTAGCTTGTGGACGGTAACATTTCCTAGCTGGGGCATATAAATATAATTTTGCAGTCATCCTGTGGGTAGAAGAAAGATGTAAATGAGGATTGGAAATTTGGATTTGTCTAGAATACCTATCAGGATTAAGTTTAGACAGCTGTAGTAAGAAAAAGAAACTTCTTTAACTCATGGCCACTAATGGGAGTTCTAGCCAGAGGTGAGGCCAAGGCGAGGTGGTGAGTAGTGGGAATGGAGATCCAGGAAGTAGAAAATCAGGACTGTGGGATTCTAGGACTTTCTAGAGAGACAGACTTCCCAGATGTGGAAGTTCCATTTGGTACAGTACTGTCTGCAGTTTAAGTGTAGTCTCTTCTACTCCTTACCCATCTCAGATTTTGGCTTCTCCCTCCAGCTCTGCTTCCACTGTTTTGGGCCATTGCCTTCTCTGCCTGGATTGCTCCAGTAACCTTCCAGTGGGTGTGCACCAAGACCGCTTCCCCACAGCCGGCCCCGCCCATATCCCTCCTTCCGTCAATGAAAGTTTAGTTATTCCTTCTTCTTTATTCAGTTGAGTCATCAGTGACCTAAGTGTCCCTTATAATGAAAGTTTATTTCTATTAGCAAATAAGTATTATATATACCTTATGCCGTTAATTAGAAATAAACTTTAGAAACATAGGGTTGTGCTAGTTGCTGTGGACCCATTGTTGTTAAATTTACCATTCTTTGACCTAATGAAACTTCTTCTGGATTTCTATTGAGATTTATGTCATACTACAAGATTTGCATTTTTAAACAGAGATGGACAGGATTGTCAATTTGAAATGAAGGAGCGAATTTTGTCTTTAGTTGCCATTATATATATTTTTTTTCATTTTTTTTTTTTTTTTTTGAGACAGAGTCTCACTCTGTTGCCTGGACTAGAGTGCCGTGGCGTCAGCCTAGCTCACAGCAACCTCAAATTCTTGGGCTCAAGCAATCCTTCTGCCTCAGTCTCCCAAGTAGCTGGGACTATAGGCATGCGTCACCATGCCCGGCTAAATTTTTCTATATATTTTTTTTAGTTGTCCAGCTCATTTGTTTCTATTTTTAGTAGAGACAGGGGTCTCACTCTTGCTCAGGCTGTTTCGAACTCCTGACCTTGAGCGATCCTTCTACCTCAGTCTCCTAGAGTGCTAGGATTACAGGCATGAGCCACCGTGCCTGGCCTCATTATATATTTTTTTATGTCTAGATAAATGAAGTCACCTTCCTGTGCCTTCCATAAGGTCATGTATAATAGTTGGAAATTGTTTCCAAGGGAAAATATGTTTCGATGACATAGCTTGGGTTTTTTAAAACCATAAATTATCTTGAGTTGAGTATACGAATAGTAGCATAGAATGCATCTTGTACAATACTGTTTTCTGTGAGAGGCTCAGGTATAACACCTGATCCATTATCCTGGACCTTTGTTATTAAGAACACCTGGGACAGCCGGGCGGTGGCTCATGCCTGTAATCCTAGCACTCTGGGAGGCCGAGGCGGGCGGATCGCTCGTGGTCAGGAGTTCGAAACCAGCCTGAGCGAGACACCGTCTCTACCAAAAATAGAAAGAAATTAACCAACCAACTAAAAAGATATATACAAAAAATTAGCTGGGCATGGTGGTGCATGCCTGTAGTCCCAGCTACTTGGGAGGCTGAGGCAGCAGGATTGCTTGAGCCCAGAAGATTGAGGTTGCTGTGAGCTAGGCTGACACCATGGCACTCACTCTAGCCTGGGCAACAAAGTGAGACTCTGTCTCAAAAAAAAAAGAACACATGGGACAAAGTTCAAATGTTTAATGGGTTTGGCAGCCTGACGTGAGTGATGCCTAAGAGGCATTTGCTTGAACATATATTCCACTTAAGCCAGATTTTTTTTCATTGTATTCTTTTTCCTTTACCTTTTAAAATCAGCTTGCTATATCTCTGTGTTATGCCACTTAGTAAGTACCAACTGAGGGCTGTAGTTGATAGCAGCAAAGTTCTGTTAGAACAAACATTGTCAGCATTTGAGGAATGAGATCTATGGGTAGTACAGGTACAATTTTGAATTAAAATGTTAGCAATGCTGGCCGGGTACCGTGGCTCATGCCTATAATCCTAGCACTCTGGGAGGCCAAGGTGGGTGGATCACTCAAGATCAGGAGTTCAAGACCAGCTGAGCAAGAGCAAGACCCCATCTCTACTAAAAATAGAAAGAAATTAGCTGGACAACTAAAAAAAATATATATAGAAAAAATCAACCGGCCATGGTGGCGCATGCCTGTAGTCCCAGCTACTTGGGAGACTGAGGCAGGAGGATCGCTTGAGCCCAGGAGTTTGAAGTTGCTGTTAGCCAGGCTGATGCCACAGCACTCTAGCCCAGGCAACAAATCGAGACTCTGTCTCAAAAAAAAATGTTAGCAATGCCACTGCATTGGTGTTGTGCTTAGTTTCTTTGTATGGTTGTACTGACTTTCATAACTGTTTTTTGCCAACAGGACTGTGGAAACAACCAGCTTCGATTTGTTGCTAAAGACAGATGACGACTGTTATATAGACTTAGAAGCTGTATTTAATAGAATTGCCCAAAAGAATCTGAATGGGCCTAATTTTTGGTGGGGAAAGTAAGTTAACCATTGTTAGCCTGTTGGCATTCTTGTACCTGACCAAATGTAATGAATTTAGAATTAAATATGCAAGTCATTTTTTTCATATGGAAAATAATGGTTGAGATACGAAATTTCATTTTAGGCTCCTGGGTTAATATGTTTTATTACTCTGCAATTAGAGGAAAATATTTTTTAAATGGAAAGCCTAAGGCTAATTTAATTAAGAAGGGAAAATGATGTAACTTTTATTCTCATGCCCTAGAAATAAGTGGTGCTCACATTAGACACTGCTGCACCTTTTATATTAGAATAAATGTGTGACACATCTCTGAAACTGTTTTCTGTGCTTCATCAGGAATACAATAGGGATTAGTGATTTGGTTTTTTGTTGTTTTGGTTTTTTTAGTATATACTAAAATACAGGGTAATCTTCTAGTACTTTTCTTTTAGAAACTCCACAAATGCAACTTTGAGAAAATTTAACATACCACTCTTTTATACAAAACACCACTGGATAAATGATAATATTCCTTTCCTTAGATTAAAAAAATATTTTATCATTTTCAATCCTTGCTTTTAGAAGGTTATTCCTTTGTAGTGATAATAAAGGATTCAAGCTTAAAAGTGGATTTTAAGGATTTGCATCAGACCAACACGAGAAGCCATGTTGTTTTTCATCTCAGTTTCAGATTGAACTGGGCAGTTGACCGAACGGGAAAGTGGCAGGAGTTGGAGTACCCCAGTCCTGCTTACCCTGCCTTTGCCTGTGGGTCAGGGTACGTGATCTCCAGGGACATCGTCGACTGGCTGGCCAGCAACTCGGGAAGATTAAAGACCTATCAGGTACTTAAAGATTTCTAACCTCAGTGTACACTCATCAAACCAGGTTTTATTCAGCCCAGTATCCCGTCACTCAAAACAGAGCCCACTTACTGGGGGAAAAGCATGTTGTTCTTTCTGTGTAGGAATCACCCCTCAAAGGTTAAGGACACATGCCTATCCCTCAAATCTTGGCTTTAAATTTTATTCTTGTATCTTTTTTGAGCCTACTTATTATGTTTTCTGCCTGTATTTATAAGTATAATCCCTAGAGGAATATAAAGATCATTATTCATTCATAAGGAAGAAGACTAAAAAGTACTTCCTAAAGACTTTAAAGTACGTGAGAAGAATGGGCTGTCTACTCACTGTATTATCTTCTGATTACCTTAGGGTGTGGATGCTTCATGTTAGTGGCCACTAGCTTCTGTGTGTCAGTGTTAATCCATGTTTGGCATTTCATATTAAAATAATAACAGAGAAGCAGATTGTTTATTATGGAAGTAGATGTGGCATTGTCTTTACAAATGAAATAAGCTTTTAAACTTTTACATTTAAACTTTATGGGCCACCTATAGGGTGAAGACGTAAGCATGGGCATTTGGATGGCAGCCATAGGACCTAAAAGATACCAGGTGAGCAGATCTTTGGGGGCTGGCCTCAGGGTTCTTAAGAGTTGAGAAAGTGAGATTTCGATATACAGGTTAAGTATCCCTTATCCAAAATCCTTGGGACCAGAAGTGTTTCAGATTTCAGATTTAGGAATAATTGTATTAAATTTACCTGTTCAGCATCCCAAATCTGAAAATCTGAAACACTTCAGTGAGCATTTCTTTTGAACATGTCAGTGCTCAAAAAGTTTAGGATTTTGGATGTTTGGATTTGGGATGCTCAAGCTGTGATGTGTATCAGACCCTGGGCAGAAAAATGAAGATCTTCTAGCATCATAGCTGTGCTCTTGATTTAATTCACAGTAATCCACCTAGGTTATTTCTCATACAGTATTTTTCTCAGTTTAAACCAAAAGGAAATGTTACGAATGAAAGTTCCCCTATCTACAAAGAAGAATTAGGTTTTCATAGATTTGATCGGAAATTCTTTGCAGCTTTAAAACTTAATGACAGAATCCACTGACTTGAGTTTCCAGCAGTGTGGCAGCCTAAGGACCCTTTAGCCCTTTTACTGGTAGAAATAAAACACTGGATAAAATATTGCAAGATGCGGTTTCAAGCACACTAATTGCAAAACCAGAAAAATAAATGAATATGCAAAGACTGAAATGGAAAGTAGGAGCCCTGGGAGGAAAGTAAGCACAAAGCTGGCTTTTCTGCAGAGATTTCTGTTGAATCCTAGATTCTTGCAACTTCCACTTTGGCCATAGATGGTGCAGGGCACAGAGAGAGTATGCAGTGTCTGCCAATTAGACACCTGCATGGAGCTGGGACCCCAGAGTAGCACACTCAGTTCAGGGTGAACAAGAAGCAAACCCAAATCTAGTTGGTCAGCTTTGATAGTCCTATTCCTTTGTCATACTTTCAGTCCCTTCTTTGGCTTACTTAACTTTGAATATAATTATTTTACTTTCTATACCCGGTAATTCTGGTATCTGTAGTTTTTGCAGATCTGATGCTGCGTTTGTTGTGACTGCAGACTGTTGTACGTGGGGCTTGTTTCCTGATGTGTTGAGAAGACTTTTTATTGTGACCTCACGTCTTTGGAAACCAAGGCCTACATTTAACCACTTCAGTACGGCGCTCACCAGCCGCAAAACCTTGCCCACAGCCGGCACTCACAGTCCGCACGACAGTTTGTGCTGTGCATTGACGACGAGTCCGTTTTGCTCTTGTGTGATGAGGAAAGCTTTAAAGCACTGAAAGCTTGTTTTACTTTACAGGCAGCTTTACTTGTAATGTAAATCACAATAGGTAACACATACATATATGTTTTCATTATGTTATTTTTAAATGGTCACAATTTTATTGTGATAAATGAAAAATTAGAAAAGTCATATCACGGCTGTCAGCTAAAGTCGATGCGGCTATCGACTATAATTGATGCTTGGCTGTGCGCGTTCATCTGTGGCTGGCGACTATAGTTGACGCTCGTACCGAAGTGGTTAAAATGCATTTTTCCCGAAGAGGGTTTACATTTTTTTCTGCCATGCGCCTAAGGGCAGTAACCATCTATGAAAACTTCCAATTTCTGGCTTGGAACTTTCGGGGCTGCATAGACTCTGACAGCTCCAGATCCACCTGAGTGCAAGCTGTGGTTACAGATGTCAAGGCAGACTCCTTTGGGTCCCACTTAGAGGCAAGACTGAGACAAGTCACCTTCTATACAGGAAGTTTCATTTTTTTAAGCACCTGGAGGTGTGGCCCTTCAGGGATTCTGGCTCCCTGTGGCAGTCTCGGATTGGTCTCCTGTCCTTGGACATGGACTTTTTTGTTTTAATGGAGTAGTTTGTGTTTTTATGGGGCATGGACTTTTAAAATCTGAGGATCAGCAGATGCCTTCAAGGCTCATGCTGACTCCAGCACTTTTTCCAACTCTTATTTCTTGTTCACCACCCAAGTTCAGCCATGCTTTTATAAATATTTTTAATTTTATCCAGCATTTGTGTTCTCTGAGTTTCTCTGTAAACATGTTTGTTATATTGCTGAAAATAGAAGCCAATTCACATAGCCGGGAAATAGTCGTGATTGGGAACTCTGGGGTTCAGGAGTCTTTAACCCCCAACATTTCACCAGTATGGTGACCTTGAGCAAGTAACCTAACTCTCAATTTTAGTTTCTCGTTCGTAAGAGGGAAATAATTCCTACTTCACAGGATTATTGTGAGAATTAAATGAGATGTTTATAAAACACTTGCTGCCGTCCCCAGATTATTATAAGCATTCCATTCTATAGTAGCTGTGACTAATGCTGCTATATAACCACCTTTCCTCTAATAGCAAATATGAAACTCTGTGGCTTCCAAACTTTCTTATTATAGAATTCGATTTGCTAACTCAAAATTGTTACACACCACACTGCATTGTTTCTGTGTTCCACAGCCCAGGGATTGTGGGGCCTTGTGCTTTCCCAAATTAGGAGGTACCACCCCCAAACCTCACCGTATGTTCACACACAAAATCGCCCTTGAAATTATTTCAGCTTCGTTAAAAAAAAAAGCTGCCTTTGTTTGCTTTCTGTCTCTCTTAAAACAGTTTCACAATTCTCACACCAGCTTTTGTTTTCCGACAGGACAGCCTGTGGCTGTGTGAGAAGACTTGCGAGACAGGAATGTTGTCTTCCCCTCAGTATTCTCCACAGGAACTGACAGAACTGTGGGAACTGAAGGAATTATGTGGTGATCCTTGTCAGTGTGAAGCAAGATGACAGTGATCTGAAGTGGCAGTGTTTAAAATCAGGGTAGGCAAATGATAATCTGAGTGTAAGTCCGAAGGAAGCCCAAGGTTTAGCAGTATGGTCTTTCCAGGAGCATTATGGGCTGGCACTTTCACCTGTAACCAATGTGGGATTTCTTAATGTTTGCACAAATTTCCTTTTTAAAAGTCAACTGATACTGTAGCATAAGAAAAGTTTTTATTTATATATTAGATGATTTGAAAAATACCAAATTATTTTACAAAAGGAAAAATATTTCTAAATCCTGATGCATTGTTGCTATCATTTTTGGTTAAAACTTGGCCTAGCTCAGAAATCTTGATTAGTAACCGAGAGTTTGAATTTCGAGCTGGACTGCTATGTAATTATTGGCTAAAAAGAAATCACAGAAGTGTTGTGTGATCATTTATTTAAGCATTGTTTGCTTATACCAAAGTTTGGGGTTTCTGGAAATAATGTCAGATTTTTGTGGCTCTCTGAATGAAGTGGGCAACTGGACCTTGGTTTTAAGGAAGTTCACATTTATAGAGTAATACTCAAGTTTTCTTTTGTCATTTAACATAAATCCTGAAGATCACAGTTTAGTATTCAAAAAAAAAGCTAAATTTTTGTGAATATGAATAAAAAGCAAATATCTCTCAGGGTTTTAGTGCCATAAGGAAGGATATTTCTAAATTGCTGACACTTTGAAAGAATTTTGTTTTCCTTCTATCATTGTATAATGTTTACCTAATATAAGTAAATTTCAATCAGAGTGGTCATCTTCTGTAGAAGATGATATGCTCAGTTTAGGTATAACTGTAGGGAAAAAGCATGTGATTAATTTTTTAAGTACTCTAAAATAGTACAACTGAGAAGAGATAATAGCATTTATGTTATACATCATAGAGGATCTCTTTCTCTAAGTTTAAGGGACATTTCCCAAAATGACCAACCAAATCATTCTAGTAACCTTTTGAAATAGTAGCATCGATAGAGAATTCCATTAAAACTAGTCTTATGACAGACATTAACTGTGTTCAGTTAGAGTAGCTAGTTGCTATTTAATATTTCAATCTTTACATAATGAAATGCAATGAACTAAAATCAGAAAAGCATTAGTAGGTTCAAGGCCTTTATTACTGCTATTATATATACAAGCCTAGAAATGGTCTCTTCCCAACAAAAAATACATCCTTTGTTAGGGCAAGTTGTAAAACTTCATTTTTGGGCAGAATTGTTCCAAGAAATCATTTATTTCCGGTGAACCCCAGACATGATAAGCAGTCTAGTCTCTAAATTTTATTAGCTGGTTGTTACCATCTCGCTAACAGACAATCTCCATTTTCCACAGAATAAAACTGTAAGGACTGTAGGTCATTTTCTAGTTCAATTTCTCTGCCTGGCATCTGAAATTAGAACAAAGGTGGGGAGAGGTGTGATTAAGACAGATCTGACAAAGCATTGTTCTACGTACTCTCCCCCAAGCAGCAGGTTACCCTTAAAGACAGTATATACGCAAGCATATATGGTCTCCCATTTAGAATCAAACTGTGGTTTTACAGAGAAATTTAATGTCATAATGTGGGGAAGTAAGCTTGACTTTATATTTTGCTGGGCAACTTACTTTGGGACTTTCATAGGCCAACAGAAGGTCTGACACAGGGACTTTGAGAAGACGTGACAGCAATCCCTTCACCTTTTGAATTGTCATGGAGTCTGTCAAAGAAAAGAAAAATCCATCAGTTCTCTCAAATGACAGTTATCTGTAAAACTTGCTCACATGACATGCAATGGTAGCTATATCTGATTTCACTATCAATTTATCCAAGTATGTAATTAGGGAAAAACTTGAATCATTTGGGGAACCGTGGGAAATGGACGTTTGACCTAAGTGCCCTTTGACAGTGAATTTTCATACCATTTCAGTAGCATATTTCTTCATTCAAATAAATCAGAAATATTCTTAGCACAGAAGCATAAATGGGAGTGAAATCATTTAAGTTTTCATTTTAAACCTGTGATTACTCTCCTAGGAATTAATGAGAGAACACTGGAGTGGGGCTCAGGTGTCCTGAGGACGTCTTTCAATCTCTCTGGCCTTAGTTTCCCCCTCTGCAAAGCGAGGGTGTAGACTAAATGATCTATAATGTTCTTTCCAGCACTACTGTTCTGTAACTATAATAGCTTAATTATTGTAATTGTGTTCAACACACAGACAAGTGACCGCCAGGCACAGGAATGTAACTTAAAGAGTAAATGCTTTGGTTTGTTCAGAAAACACTATGAACTTCTTTCCAAAGATGGGTTGTGGTTAATAGTGGATATTTTGATTATGAGAAAAAGAGTTTCTTTGAAGCTTTAGCTGGAAGTACAGCAATAGTGTAGTGTTCCTACAAATATCACAATGTATTCAAACAAATATTTTTCTATCAGAAATCATTTTTGTAAAAGCTGTGTGTTTTTATGCAACTTGTGATAATAAATGTTATCTTTATTTTAGAATAAACACTGGCTTTTTCTTGTTTATTAATAATACAGGTAAATATTTATAATTTTAATACAGTTTGTTCTTTTAGGTGGACTGGCTTTCATTGTTCGCAGGGTGGTTAGAGAGGGGTTAACTCCTGCACGCCAGTGGGAAAGGACATTTCTGAGTCTACAGAAGAAAGTGGCAATTTGATTGTCTTAACATTCAGAAAACATGGAGGTAGTCAATTGTTTGCCTGTTGCCCTCCCTATGACCACTGTTATATGTTGCTCTACGACTTGTATTTCTTATATGATATGCACTGTCCAACATGGCATCCACATGTGGCTAGTATGACTGAGGAACTGAATTTAATTTTATGCAATAAATTTAAAATTAAAGAGCTGCTAGTGGCAGCTGTTACTGGACAGCACAGTAACAGCTACTAGACCTTCATTCTCCTTGATATGGTGCATTGTATGGTCCTAGCAGAGTTCATTCAACCATTCTCCCATTTATAAACATTTAGATTGTTTTCATCGTTACCATTACAAGTGATACAAGATAGAATGCTTGGTCAGAGCATATATTTTTTATAGCAATTACTACATGACTTTACAGAAAGGGGACACTGCTTTTTCATGCCAACCAATATTTTAATGTTTGCTAATCTGACGGATAAAAAAATGGTATCATAGTATTTTACATTTATTACCTTTCTTTTTTTTTTTTTTTTATGTAACTTAAACATTTGTATATTACCTTTCTTTTTAAAGGATATTTATGTTTGTGGTTAGATACTCACAGCATGTAGCATAGGAATTAATAGTAAGAACGCTGGCTTAACTTTTAATCTGCTGGTTTACTGCTGAGTTTATAGAATATAGGACTCAGATTCTGAATAGCTTAAAGCAGTAACAATTACATATAAAATTCTATGGATAATTGTAATCTGTTAGTTCTACCCAACGATTAATAAAAACAGAATGAATATGGCTGGTGTTCCCAAAGTGAGAACTAAATCTCAAAAGACCTGGGGTACCAGTCAGGTGTACAGTGTGGGAGAAGGGTGAGGAGGCCCTGTCACCCCTGGCCTAGGGCTGCTTTTGTGCACATGCCCAGACCACAGTCCCTGACACATCTATTTCAGTGCCTTCCCAGAGAAAGCCTCAAAAGGAAAGCTTAACTAAATAGGTCTAAGGAGAACATTCTTGAACAAATATTGATTAGTGGTAACATTCCCACAAATGGATTGACTTATCTGAAAAGAGAACATGCAAAGACATCCAAAGCCAAAAACATTAACAAAAAGTTCTAGCCCTCTTTCACTAGTCTGTCCCCACCAAGGCCTTTACTGATCGTTATTCTGTTTTCAAACTTAAATACTAACGAGTAACCACTAATTTTAATTCATCAGTATATAGCAGTAGGAACATTACATATCACAGGACTAGAAATTGGATTGCTAGTAAATAAGAATGGAGAAATAACTGGTAAATTAACACTGAATGGATGGTTATCAATCAGAAAGGTACTACTTTGAACACACTAAGGTCTTTTGTAAGCAGTGCCATGATAAACTTGTTTTATCTGATAGAAACTAAAAATCTGTATGAATTACTGCACTGACAAACAAGGAAATGCAATATTCTAGAGTCATTTAGGTTGATATTTCATTTTTTTCAAATCCTCACTGCCCTAAATTTAACCTGTTTATATTTCTTGAGCATACACAATATCATGGCATACTTTAAAAAAATAAGACTGTAATTTTTCTTTTGAGTAAAAGTTTGAGGTAAGTTATGTTGATCTAATTTGCTGACACAAAAGTATTTATTTTCTGAATAAAACTAATTCAATTTCAGTGGCACAGATTTTCTTCTGAAGTTTTTTTCAAAGAAAAACCATTTCAGTGTGTCCAGTTAAAAGAGCATTCTGAGAATTGTTTCTGTGAGGACTCCTGATCAGTAAGTAGCATGTAAGAAAAGTCACAAACATCCCAACAATTCAGTTCACTAGGACATGTCTCCTCTTTTATGAAGGGATGATAAGAGAGATCCCAAACCCAGTGTAACAGTCTCTCTGGAAACAGCAGTGGCCTTGGGGAATTCCTAACAGGCTAAGCCACTCAAGTTCTCAGGCCTTTGGTTAAAACTAAAATTATACGTAGCGGCTTCCAATTTTAACAAAACTGTTTTCAAGATAAGCTGATAAAGTTATGGGAGACCTGAACTTTCTGGAGGATGGAGAGAGTGATATTAGCATCACTGATAATATTTTAGACTATGAAAGACTAACGAAAACCTATCAGCTGTGAGGCCTACACTTTCGGATATGAATTAAAGGTTTCAATTCCAGCTGACTCATACATAGGCTAATGATTCAGAAGTATAAGGAAGGTTCATCCATCAAATGGAAGTGGGGGGGGAAGTATACGGAAGGAAAAGACAGGTGAATTCTTACCTGGCAGTTGTTTCTCTAGGACTTTCTGATCAAGTTGATTAGGGCATTTTATCTTCAGTGCTTTAAGGAAAATAGGATAAAGACTAATTGATAACTACTATAATAGGGATTTAAATTATGCATGCAAGTCAATTGGGATTGCCAAATGATATGGCTATTCAGTACGACATGGCTCAATCCTAATTTTTTTTTTTTTTTTGAGACAGAGTCTCGCTTTGTTGTCCAGGCTAGAGTGAGTGCCGTGGTGTCAGCCTAGCTCACAGCAACTTCAAACTCCTGGACCCAAGCAATCCCGTTGCCTCAGCCTCCCAGGTAGCTGGGACTACAGGCGTGCGCCACCATGCCTGGCTAATTTTTTTCTATATATATTAGTTGGCCAATTAATTTCTTTCTATTTATAGTAGAGACGGGGTCCCGCTCTTGCTCAGGCTGGTTTCGAACTCCTGACCTCGAGCAATCCACCCGCCTCGGCCTCCCAGAGTGCTAGGATTACAGCTGTAAGCCACCACACCTGGCCTCAATCCTAATTAAAAACAGGTCTTACTAATGTTTAAAACTTCTTTATTAAAACTTCCATGAATTACTAACAATAAAAACATCTGGACCAACATGCTCTCACCTTTCCCCTTTTCCACCTTAGTATTCCTTTCCTGACAAGTTAGCTAGGTTTTCAAGTGTAAAAATTACAAATTTCCAAATCACAGTTCAGTTCACAACTCAAATACCTCCCACATTTATAACGCTATTAAATAAGTTTAAAGCATGGGAGTTGCAAAACTGTTTAAGAATTTAGATAGGTATGAGAATTCATCATTTCTTTAAAGCTCAAGGCACTTAGGTACTTAAGAGACACGGTTAATCCCTATAGGCCATCACCATCTGCTTCGGCACCTAAGGACTTGAATACAAATAAGCTGTATCTGAATTTAGAGTTCTTACTTAGTAGCTGGTTTTTGAGCATAAATGGTTGTTGTATTTTGAGTTCCCCATCTTCAGGTGCACCATATTCTGTTTAAGAAGAAATAAAAATGGATGAATGATAAAGGTCACTTTAACAACAACAAAAAAGTGCAAGGGTAAGTATCCACAGTGTTTTCCTTTTCCAGGATAAACCTATCAACACTTGGCAGGCCAAGCTGGAATCAGCTTCCTTTTATTAAGTTTGTTTGATTTTTAGGAGAGATGGCAGCAGCCACTTCCAAGAGTAGAATCCACCATCTACCCAGAGCTGCAGACTCTGTAACTTATTTAGTTGATAAATGACCAGTGAAACCCAACAAAAGGAAATAAAAGACATGCAACATGTTAACATGTACATACAAACTTGTATATTACATTATTATTTCTTAAGGGCTGACAGTGTCCTGGCTCAAACTAGCAAGATAAGGCTGTGCTTTCAGATACCTCAAATGTTTATTCAGAGTTTCACCTTTGGTAACAGTTCCCTTTCTTTCTGGGTCCTGAGAACAAAACCCTGATGCTAATTGGGACACCAAGTTTCAACCAGATCGTTCAGTGCCAGGCGGGGCACTGTCAGCACCTCTGCAAACCAGCTCCTTGGCCTGGGGCATAGCCTCCATCTTAGGGCAGGAGGAAAGAAGTACTTGTTCTGCTCTAGGCCAACCAGTGACAAAACTTTTAATATAGGCCAGGCACGGTGGCTCACGCCTGGAATCCTAGCACTATGGGAGGCCGAGGCAGGAGGATCGTTTGAGCTCAGGAGTTCGAGACGAGCCTGAGCAAGAGTGAGACCCTGTCTCTACTAAAAAAAAATAGAAAGAAATTAGCAGGACAACTAAAAATATATAGAAAAAATTAGCCGAGCATGGTGGCACATGCCTGTAGTCCTAGCTACTCGGGAAGCTGAGGCAGGAAGATTGCTTGAGCCCAGGAGTTTGAGGTTGCTGTGAGCTAGGCTGACGCCACGGCACTCTAGCTGGGGCAACAGAGTGAGACTCTGTCTCAAAAAACAAACAACAACAAAAAAAACTTCTCTAAACATTCTCAAGTATCCGTGCTTTTGTCTAATAGTGTTCTTAGCCGTGAGTCATACCTGCCTGGCTGCCTTAGAACCCTCCCAGCCCACCCCCAAGTGATTGAGAATTCACCACGAGTGGCCAGGAAATTGGGCCACCTAATGGAGTAATTTGAAAGCGATTCCCACAGGCAACTTTTCTTCCTCAAAGATAACTGTTCGAGCCTGAAGCATTTATGCAGTGAGCTTCTCACATTAGGAAATATATAAAAGGGAAAATCGCATAAAAGTGAAATGTGGAATAATAATGAAGTCAAACAAAATGGAAAGTACATCAGAGACAAAGACTCATGAATTCTGAGCTTCAAAGCCTGAGGAACCAGGCTGCAGAATTTAAGGAGCCACTGTGCATACTAAGTGTCAAATCCCACAGAACATACACTGAGCCCTCGGGACAAGAGAGGTGTAGAACCACGTACTCCCGGGAACGTTCGTGTAAGTTAGAATTACCAACTTTAATTATAAAGGGGCTTTAAAAAATTCCAGTGCCTTTAAGGTAAACTGAAGCGCTTCCTACCCTCCTGAGAAGGGTAAACCACCCGAAATCTGGTGAACATATGCAAAGAGGAGAACTTACATTTAAGAACTGGTTAACTTGCCCAGATGCAAATCTCTCCCTTTCAGGAACCTAAACAAGCTTCCAGGTTCCTTCTGCCGAAAGATACTGCTGATTTATCTTTCTGTGCTGCAGCTTTGCTGAAGTAGCCCCCCAAGGAAAGTACCTGTAGTCCACTTGGATAGGTACAAGAAGCCCCAGGAAAGGGAGAAGAGCAAAACCACCACCACTGGGAACATCCTTTTACTGTTCCAGTTGAAAGGCCACCACAGGAAAGGCTGCCAGCTACATGTACGTACTAAGGCACAGCAACTGGTATCTAGGGTGGGCTGCGAGAAATTCTTCATCTGGTCTGTTTCTGTCTGGATCCTGATGTCCCCCAGCCTTTTTCCATTCATTTCCAAAAGCTTTTCGGTAATCAAGCTCAGCCCCGCGCCTTTCCTCTGGCAGAATCTGTGTTGGTGTGAAATAAAAACAAGCCTATTAAAGCATTTTTCTAACAAGCCCTCCAGGGTGTTGTGCACCCTGTTCTTCCTCCACTGCCCATGCAGAGAATAATCAAACCGTGAGGGATAAGAAAATAATTATACTTGTCACCTTTCATTTCTAACATTGACTTAGAACTCAGGTGTTTATTCAAAAGAGAAAATAATTTCAGTTTTATCCTTTTCTTTGTGGAAGTAATTTGCCCACGAGCCAGTTTAGGGACTATGCCAGGTGCCTAGGGCCACCTCCCAGGGTCGGCCAGGAGGTGCCCGCACAGGAGGGACCGACTCCGAGTGACGACTCCAGCAAGGCGCTGCCTTCCCACCTCTCTGGGGAAGAATGGCTAAGGAGAGGAGAAATATGCTTCGTGGTTTTGTCTTCTTTCTGACTATGTTCCCCCAGAGACAATGAAGAGAGTGCCCCAGGATTCCTCGCCCCTACCAGACGGTAATAAATCAGGCGCTAATCTAAGTGCGTTGCTGTCTCCTGGGGAGTTAGGAAACAGCCAGTGTTACTAAAAAGCACAGCAATGTTTCACCATTTGAAGGAAAGCTCCATCTCACATCCTGTACAATAGTCAAGTACAATTTCTTTATACATTTTTGATCTATCTTGTAGCCTAAAAAAGACCCCGTCGTGATACCCGCGCTCACCTCACATTTGTTCAGGGTCCTCAGCTGACCGATCTTGGCGATGATGAGCTGCCGCGTGGTCTGTGCTGCTTTGTCGCCTTCGGTCAGGGGGTTTCGGATGCAGGACAGAGCGTGCAGACTCTGTAACTTGTGGACCCAATCTGCCCGCCTCAGCCTCCCAGAGTGCTAGGATTACAGGTGTGACCCACCGCACCCGGCCTTAAACTAATTTCTTTCTTAATACTTTTTTACTTTATATGCGGCATTTCATTCTGAGAAACAGGAGGAACATCCAGACTCCACCATGAGAGTAGAAATAAGCAATGATATGCTCTGCACACTCTGAAGAAACTCTTACTTGTGATATCTGATTGTCATTTACGACAAGGTACTGCAAGTTTGGGAACATTGACGTTTTGCACCCTAGAAAAAGGAGAATTAAGTTACACTGTATAAGTGAAACAGGTAAAGTATGGGGTCGGAGGAAACTTTAATAATCTTACATACCAATTCCAGCATCCGGAAAATGTATAGAAGAAATTCCAATGTCAGAGAGAATTAGTTGTTCTAATCTAAAATTTAAAATGTTAAATTTGATTACATAGGACAATACAAAATGCTATGGGCTATCAACCAGACTAGATTCATAAATGTTCTGCCTATACTCTGGGTTTCCATCCCATGTAAATTACTTAGAAACCATAAAGTCCAATTTAGGGCATGCAAAGTGGACTCTATGCTATTAATATATTCCAATGATTCCACAGTCATCTAACAGTTTCTGCATAGCCCTGCTGTGCCAGTGCTAAATGGGTCTCAGAGGAAAGAGACCGGGTCTTGCTGCCCGAAGTCTAATAAATTAAGGCTTTTGGCATTATCACCAGAGTCAAATTCTTCATCAAATTATCTAGTACATGGTCCCCATTGTACATGGTTCACAAGTAAATTCTCTAAATGAATTAAAATAAAAATTCCCCAACGTGGATTACTCTCTTTAAGAATTCCATCGTAATTCTATTGAAAAAGTATATACAGCATATGAAAATTCATTCACTAAAAATTTGCTAAGCACTATTGTGACAGGCATTTAGGTGCAAGTTACCTGGGCAGATATGCTATCAGAAACAGCTGACTTTCATCAATTAAGTGATTAGAAGAAAGGTCTAACAACTTGACAGTCTGCAGAACATCAGTTGGCCTGTATGGAAAATAAAATTTTTTCAACGTGAATTAATCTCTTAATTATTTTCAAAGATACAGCCTTAAAATATCTATATTTGGTATACAGAGGGTGGGGGTAAGAGGCAAGTGAATTTTTATGATGGGCAACCGGAGGAATCGTTGTGGTGATGGAAATGTTCCTGACGGTATCAGTGCCCTGCTCCTAATACCGTCCCATAGTTTTGCAACATGTTACCAATGAGGGAAACTGGGTAATGGGTACAGTGATCTTTGTATATTACTTCCTGTAACTGCAGGTGAATCCACAATTATTTCAAAGTAAAAAGTTTAATTTAAAAAATCTGCATTCACTTCTAATAATAAATGAAACCATTCTGTAGAATAAAATCTTAATTTCAATCCTTTCATTGAGAATTTATAAATTTTTCCATGCTTAAGTTTATTTTACACAGTAATTTAATAGAGGGAGATGAGGCAATAACATTTATTTAGGAAAACAAGCTTTTACATATACTTTAGTAAACTGACCTTAAACAGTTAATACTAATTAAAAATGCATTATTTAATCTTTCTAGCATAGTGTACAGAACTTGTTTAGAAACAGCAAGTTAAATACATTTATGCAAAACTAATAAAATTCATGTCTTCACAAATATTTAATTCTGATGAGTTTCCCTCAATTAAAACCAATTAGTATTCATCTTCTACAGCTATGTTAAATAAAAAAAAAAAATAAAAAAATAAAACCAATTAGTGAAGTTTTAGTTGGCATTCTAATTTGTGAAGACAATTAATAAGCATTTTTTTCTTATTTGCAAATCCTTCCAAAAATTAACGTTAGACATAATTAAGACCACTTATTTATTCAGAATGACTAAGTGGTTACAGATGCACTTAAGTAAACCCCCGTTACCTTTGTGAAATGACGATATTGTTAGACCCGAGGTACAGCTCCTCAAGAACGGGGCACGCAGAGGCGCACTGGAGCACCTGGAAGGGACACTCGATTCAGAGGGAAGCAGCCCCTGCAAGTCGTTTCTTCCCACACAGTCATCACTATTGCGCCTCCATGGGAACTCAGTTTAGTGACTATTTCAGAAATAAAGTGCCTCGTGGACAGCTCATACAGACTGTATTTGAGGCCCAGAGTAGCAGGGAAAGGGTAATAAATTAAAATGCAAAAGGGCTGCAGTTTAGTGCCATGGGAGCGCACACTTTTGGCACTTCGAACACATCAAGGTAGGTGGCAATGAGCAGTTTAGGTGAGGCGGTTGCAAAGTGAAACTGGAGATGGAGACTGAGCATGTCCTAATCATCTGGCAGGGTTTGCTTAACCCAAAGAAGGAAACTGATGTTAAATATAATTCCTTTCCTCAATGCTAGATGCCAATCTAGGCTTGTAAAGAGTATGCGAATTAGACACAATTTCTCAATTATTATTTAAGGGACAAGGTCTCACTCTGTCATCCAAGGTAGGGTGCAGTGGCATGATCATGGTTCACTGCAGCCTCAAATTACTGGGCTCAAGTGATCCTCCCCCCTCAGCCTCTCAAGTAGCTGGGACTACATGTGTGCCACCATGCCTGGCTAATTTCTTTCATTTTTGTACAGATGGAGGCTTCCTACCCACATTGCCCAGGCTGGTCTCAAACTTCTGGGCTCAAGCAATCCTCCCACCTCAGCCTCCCAAAGTGCTAGGATTACAGGCATGAGCCACCACTCCCGGCCTACCACCTGAATTTCTATGTGCCCTATTTTAAGGCTAAATCAATACCTGAGGAGGAAGTAAGTACCCCCCAAGGAAAGAGTCCTAGAAAAGAAGTTCCATGGCTACGGGCACGTTAAGGGCACAAGTTAACGGGCAACTGTCTGTCACTGAGCTGCCTCTGTGGCATTACACGGATGAACATGGCTGGGAATGTATTTCTACGAGCTTGGTTTGAAAATGGAATATTCTGGGTGTGTGAAGTCAATAAAACCCCGCCAGAAAACAGCAGTACCAGATGTAAGCAGTGCTGTGCCAAGGACACAGGAGTCCACCTTGGGGCCCAGCTGTGTGCAACAGTAGGTTCTAGGAGCTGAACTTCAAACAAGAGAACCTTTCTGCGGCGTAGCTTCTGCTCTGAAAAAACTTCCAGAAAAACTCAGGGAGCTCGATAAGTAGCCAATACCACAGCTTGTAAAAGCTCAGCACGTAGTTCCTGCACACCATGATGGAGTGCCACCATTTAGAAAGACACTAGAACAAACCAAAATGAGCTGAGAGAGACAATATGGATTCCTAGATATTAAATTCTACTGAAACGCAATGATTTTTTAACTCATTTCTATAAAGCAGTTTAAAAATCCTATTATATGGATAATAGGATGACTAAAACAAAGCCACATTAGTACTTCAATTCCCTATTAAATCAAAAAATGTTAATTGCTTATCACTGTGTAATAAACCAAAGAAATATGATTACCTCAGCCCACGTTATTCCCGTCCGATTGAGGACTAAAACCTTCAGTGCTGAAAATGTTCCGGTAAGAGATGCTGAACCAGAAGGACACTGGAGTTTATTTTCACTGTGTGGAAAAAGAAAATACAATACAGTAGACCCAACTTAAACACCGAAAGCAACAACTTGGGACTTAATTGAAATTCTATTAAAAACAAGAGTCAAGACAACCTAATTTTTCATATTTACAACATACAACTTTTAGTATGTGGCACACAAAGACAATTTCACGGGGTTAGGGCAGCTGCGTGGGGTGGTGGGCATCCAGGCATTCGTAGGGTTAGCTTCCGGCTTCACCAGGTGCAGCTCTGGGCATTGCAAAATGAAGTCCTGTTCGTAAGAGTCCTGCTGATACGCTAGATCATGGGCTAGAATTCTGCTTCTCTAAACGCAGTCAGCTAGGAGGAGGACTGAAACATATTACTGCCCTTTAAATTCTCTCTCAATAGCCTAATATCAGGAAGTACTCGATCTTCACAGTCACTTTGAAAGAAGATAACATTAAAAAGCATGAGCCCCAATTTCCAGAAGAGACACTATGGGTCACCCCGTTTGTTCTGTTCGGGAACACAACGAGTTTAGGCCTGACTACCGACTATACTTTACCTGCCTCAGCCAGGTACAACTCACCTGTGTATGTAAAGTTGGTTCAAGTGTGAAAGGGAAAGCCTGGCTAAGCCCTTGGAAAGGTAGGTTCTGAGATTAAAACTAATCAAATATTTAGGAAGGCCTGGAAAACTGACATTAGTAAAATAGGTACATTAGTGAAAATTCCTTATCAAAAGTGAATTAAGCAGTATCCCAATGAACTTGTACCTAAAGCAATTAAATGCTAGAAACTTCCAAATAAACAATCACTTTTAATATTAATAATCCCACCTCTCCTATCACCTCCCCAATGTTCCATATTTTATGGTCAGGCTTATAAGAAATATGAAGCTCCTTCAGCTCATTGTCAACCTTCCTCATCCCCCACCCAGTCAAAAGCAAAACACATTCCTTATTAAGGAATCATCTCATAGGACCAATTGCAAGACTATAACAATGTGCCCTTGAAGACTAAGTTAAATTTAGATAAATTCAAGTAGGCCAAGATCTGCCTGAATTAAAAGGTCTACCAGGTGGTGGCCTTAATTCTGTTCATCTTCCCTCCTCATTGCACAGAGACGCGACGAAGGAGCAAGGAGAGAGCAGGAGTTTCACATGACAATTAGGCAGCCAAGAGTTCATACCTGAGATTAAGAACTTCCAGATGTCTGAGCTGATCAGCAATATGTATCACTTCATCCCACGATGACAACAGGTTTTTTGACAAATCTACCTTTCTAATATCTAAAAAGCACAGGTTAAGAAAGTAATTTCAAAAGATTCATAAAAGACATAAAAGTAGTTACTCTTGATTCTGGAGCATGGGATCTTTAACTTTTTACTTTATACCCTCATATTCTGCTGGAAATTTTGTCATGAGTATATAATGCTTCTATCTTTTAAGTTACACAACTGTTCATTAAGAAACTAAAAAGTTCATTGTCATAAACTGAAAACTTAAGACAAACTTCTACAATCAAATGAATAAGAACCAAATGTCCTAACACTAAACCATCCTAGCACTATCCAACAAGGGGGGGAAGCAGTGATGGTAACTGATTTATTAAGCACCTAAGATGCAACCAAGGGCTTTGCCCTCGGCACTGCTTAGCACCTGCAAACCTCACACCCTGCTCATGACCTTCTCCTGACCTTCTCCTATGGCGCACATTTGGCCTACAGGAATGCCCAAATAAACAGCATCATCCCCAGGACATAAAACAGGGGTTAGCTCAGACAAATGTTCACAAGTACTAAGAATGATTTGGGGATTCAGAAGGTCTCCCGTAGCCTACAAGCAGTTACTACGACATGCCCCACCTCTGGTAGAGGGACTCAGAGAGGGGTAAACCAGCAGGATGGAAAAAGCAAAGGTCAGATCCCAGCTCAGGTACTTGAGTGTGACTTGAGCAAGTGTGACTGCCAGCGAGGAGCAAGGTGAGCAAGCAGTGCCACTGGAAGGGGCAAAGCTTAGCAAAGTCCTCAGCAAAAGACAGAAGAGAAGCCTGGAGCAGGACTGGACCCGCTAAAAGAAGACCTTACACTCTGATCTGAAATAATCGGGATATTATTCACTTCACTCATCTAGTCCACGAGGAATTATTGAGGGCCAGGTGTATCGCAGTGAGCGAAGTCTCAATGGGGAAGAGACAGTTTCAAAGCAAGAGGCTCCGCAGTGTGTCAGAGGCAGGCCATGCTCAGAGAGGCAGAGCGGCACACAGGAAAGGGTGTGTGGGTATCTTACAGGGAAGACCACCTCCCCTAACAAGACGGCACTTGAGCAGAAGACCGAAGGAAATGAAGGAATGTCATTTGGGAAAAGGGTCTCCCAGGCTGGGGATGGCAAAGAGCGAAGGCCTGGGTGAGAATGGGTTCAGCCTGTGACAGGGATCACCAGCTCCAGTGGGCCTGGCGCAGGTGGGGTTGAGGGTGCTGGGAACAAGGTCATGAAGGCCACCGGGGGACCAGGCCAGATCATTACAGGTCTTGCAGGCCACTTCGAAGTCTTTGCTAGTCTCTGGCTGACTGGGAACTTTTGGAGGGGGTAGAGCAGCAATGGGATCTGACCTGGGGCTTTAAAACGTCACTCTGGGCCGGGCACGGTGGCTCACGCTTGTAATCCTAGCACTCTGGGAGGCCGAGGTGGGCGGATTGCTCGAGGTCAGGAGTTCGAAACCAGCCTGAGCAAGAGCGAGACCCCATCTCTACTATAAATAGAAAGAAATTAATTGGCCAACTAATATATATACAAAAAATTAGCCAGGCATGGTGGCGCATGCCTGTAGTCCCAGCTACTCGGGAGGCTGAGGCAGCAGGATTGCTTGAGCCCAGGAGTTTGAGGTTGCTGTGAGCTAGGCTGACGCCACAGCACTCACTCTAGCCAGGGCAACAAAGCGAGACTCTGTCTCAAAAAACTAAAAAAATAAAAAAAATAAAAGGTCACTCTGCTGCCGGCTGAGCACAGACTGCTGGGAAACACAGGACAGGAAGTCTAGTCAGGAGGCTCTGACCAGACTGGTGGCACTGAGGGGACAGGAGAAGTCAGACTGGGTGTCCTAATCTAGAAGAGGAGCTGACAGGATCTGCCAATGGATTCCGGCATGGGATGTGAGAAAAAAGGAACGTTACGGATAACTCCAAGGTTTATGGCCTGCACAACTGGAATTGTCATTTACTAAGAGGGAACGGCTACAGACACGCAGGTTTGAGGGGCCTTAGTCTTGGACATGCTAGATTTGAGCTGACCGTTAGCCACGCAGACAGGGATACCAGATAAGCAGCTGGAGAGACAAGAGTGAAAGGGGAACGGAGGCGAGGCGGGCCAGCCACGCCCCAGGTCTCCCTGGGAAGCCAGGGGTCAAAGGTCTGAGTCTTGGGTCACCCCCAACATTGCATCCATAGAGGGGTACCAGAAAAAGACACTGAGGAGGAGTGGCCAGTGAGGAGAGAAGAGCACCTGGACTCAATAGACATCCCCACCACCACCCCTGCTGCCACCGCTGCCGCCGCTGCCGACCAGGCCGGCTGCTGTCTCATGTTGCTTTTTCACAGGAGAAAAAATTGACACACAGAGCCGTAAGATAACCGTAATTTTGTGCAAATTAACAAGTATGAATTTAAACACAACTCTGTCTTAATCCAAAATCCACTTTATCACACCCCACAATGCAACAGGGGCTTGTCAAACATGGATAAAGCATGGAGAAAGCTTCTTTACAAAAATCATGGCAGCACTCCAGAGGATGGGTTGGAAAGGGAACAATTTTAGGCAGGAACGAAGAGGAAGCTGTGCCCGTAGGTCAGGACCCAGGAAGGGCGGGCAGTGCGCATGCGAAGAGAGGATGGCCCCAGACCCAGCCGGCCACCTCCGGCCTGCACCGGCATCCAGCCAGCTGCCGGGTTTGTCCCAGCCCAAAAGCTAAGAATGGCTTTCACATTTTAAACGGCAATATTAAGCACCTACGTAATATCCTCCATGTTGCCAGTTGGCCCACAGGCCTAAAGTATTTATTATCTGGCTTTTGGGCAGGGGAGGGACATTGTCTCACTCTGTTGCCCAGGCTGGAGTGCAATGGCGCCATCGTAGCTCACTGCAGCCTCCAACTCCTGGGCTCAAGTGATGCGCCCACCTCGGCCTCCCAAAGTGCTGGGATTACACATGCCAGCCACTGTGCCCAGCCTATTATCTGACCCTTTAAGGAAAAGATTGCTGACCCCTGACCTAAAGATGACTTAACGTGGGGCACAGGTGGTGTGTAGTAAACAATGCCAAGAATACAAGGGACAGAACAGCCAGGCCACAGCGCTGGGGTGCCGGGCAGCATGACGCTCCCAAGCCCCCAGGTCCTACTGTTGGCGGAGCAAGACCGCGAGGGGAAGCCGGGCTTCTGGCTCCAACAGTCTGAGTTTCTGCCACAAGCAGAATAATGACTACCCAAAAATGTCATATCAAGCAGAAGGGGGAGAAGTGACAAGTGTAGGCTACCTGGATTGCCAGACACAGCAAACATACTCTAGGTCCCCTCGGGCTCCTCCACTACCCTGGGGACACACTTCCACCAACAATCGCTTGTTCCTCCCCCGGGTCCCCTGGGCTACCCTGGGTTCCTCAGAGCCACTACAGCCCGGATGCTGGAGTCCACCTTCACACGGAAACGCACTGGGTGCTTTTCATGCCTCAGTCTGACACTTTGACCAACCTTCAATTCCACTAACCTGCTAACTCTGGGTCATTAGGTTGATTAGAAAAGGTTTTTTTCTGGGGTTTTTTTTTTTGAGACAGAGTCTTGCTCTGTTGCCTGGGCTAGAGTGCCGTGGCATCAGCCTAACTCACAGCAACCTCAAACTCCTGGGCTCAAGCAATCCTCCTGTCTCTGCCTTCCAAGTACCTGGGACTACAGGCACATGTCACCACGTCCAGCTAATTTTTTCTATTTTTAGAAGAGACAGGGTCCCATTCTTGCTTAGACTGGTCTTGAACTCCTGACCTGAAGCTATCCTCCCACCTCAGTCTCCCAGAGTGCTAAATTACAGGTGTGAGCCACCGTGCCCAGCCTAGAAAAGGTTTAAATCCAGTAATTTTTCACTCATTCCTACTTCCATTATGTAGAGATTAGAAATATTTCTACCTATCTGTACAGAGCACACAGACCACCTACATTCTGAAACTGATGCTAAACAACACAACAGTTGTTAAAGTGGCACCCCACTAAACACACACACACACACACACACACACACAGAGTTAAGGAGTTCTCGTGGCTACACAGTGCTGCTCCTGAGGACAGATTCTCTTCCCAAGTTCAGAGCCAGCTGGTTAGGTGGGAGGCAGCTGGTCCCCTCCCCTAGAGGTGCTCTGTGACTTGACTCTCGCTGCCTTGCATTCCGAGTGAGTGAACGACCCCACAGAGAGAGGAGATCAACCCGAAGGAAGACGACTAGATTAAACATGCAAGGCAATATGTCAACTTCTGGCAGGAATTCAATCAGGAGCTTCAAGACATTCATCACTGTATCTGCAAATACCAAGCGTGACTTGATTATCTCACAAAACCTCATTTCTTCCTGTCTTGGGGGACTTTTTTCTCCAGGAAAGAGCAGTATAAACAAGCAATATGCTGATTTTCTGGTACACAGCTGACAACTCCAATCAACCAAACAACCTACATCCCCAAACCTATCTCCCGAGCAGACCTTTTCCTGGTCAGGAACCCCCAATTACCGATCCCCTGAAATCACTTAGAAGTAGCCCAGGCAGCATCCAGATGCTCCAGACATTCTGTGGCCCTCTGCTCCTCACCAAACCTTTCTGCATCCACTTCCATCCCATCCCCCGCCACCCCCACCCCCACCTACAGCTGCCTCACCTCCAGAAACGGCCACACTTGTGCAGCCCGCTGGTGTCAGCAGAGGGGCTGCATAGGCGACCAGCTCAGAATGCAGCTGCCCCAGGTCCCAACAGACCCCCATGGGGATATCTCAGGTACCCCAGGTGGGGAAGCTCTGCTCTCATTTCTGTCACCACACTGTCAGAACATTTTGCTAACGACAGATACCTCATCTGGCATCTCTTCACTCAGATAAAAATCAATCATAAACTGCTACCTTTTGCACAAATTACTACGCAGAGAGCAGGCTGCTGAAGCCCTGGGTGTTCTGTCTGCTCTCAAGGAAGGAGGGTAAAGGCAATGGGCATAGGCCAACCAGGCGTGCCACCTTCCAGCAGCACCGCCTACACATTCTACTTCACATCACGCTGGCTGGGGACACACGCTGGCACACCTGAAGCAAAGGGGCCTGGGAAGGTAAGTGATTTATCTGGGCAGCGGCTGCCCCAAGCAAAACTGAGTTGCTATTAGGAAGAACGTCAGAGAGAATGGACAGGGGGTAGGCAACTTGAGGTATGTGGCACAAGTATCACTTCCAAAGTCAGATTCCAGTAACAAGCTATCAGTGAAAGGATACTAGGGCATGCTTTGGCAATTCCTCCTTTTTCACCAGCGCAACTTACTGCACAGTTCCTCAGAGAAATGTCTTGCAACTTGCTCAGCTGACTGCATGAAAAACAGAGTTCACACGGATACATAAACACACACGCTACCCAGTGGCTCTTTAAAAGATTAAACAGCATTTCAGACATACAAAAATGTACCAAAAGTAATATAAAATACTAGTAATTCACCACCCAAATTAAGAAATAAAGCATTACAAAAAAAAGAAAACATTGCAGACATTGCAAATGCAACTGAGGTCCTTTATGTCCCTCAGCAGGACACAGTCCTATCCACCCGACACCCCCAGGGCAACCTACGCTACATTTGGAGCATATTTAATCTTAAACATTTCTTAATACCTTTGCTATATATTTCCATATCCCTAAGCAATTAGGGCATTTTTGTATATTATGAAGTTTGACATAAACTGTAGTCTACTATGTAGAGCCTCTTTGCAACTTATTTTTTCCTCAAGAGTATATTGTTTAGCAGTGAGATTTAGTCATATTGACACATGGAGCTCCAGAACATTCATTTTCATACCTTATAGCTTTTCAATATATGCATAGACCACAATTTATTTACTCTTCTGTTGACATTGAGATTGTTTACAACCATATTGAAGTAAACACTATTGAATACTTCTTGCATGTCGCAGATCCTAGAGATACATGCTAGAGAATGTGCATAGCTTCAGCTTTACTACTCTTAGGAACCATTTTTTAAGTGTAGAAAATCCATATTTTCTGTTCATTAAAAGAATCCACATATTATAATGTCTAAGAACAGAGAATCTGGAAGCTGACTCCTGGGTTCAAATCTCAATTCCATCATCGCTTTGGCTTTGCCAAAGTTAATTAACATCTCTGTGCCTCAGACTTCCCATCTTCAAAATGCTGTAGTATACACACAAGCTCACAGCAGCTTATTCACAACTGCCAAAAGATTCAAACAGCCCAGTGTCCACAGGCGAATGAATGGATAAACAATGTGGTATGTACATACAATGATATATTGCTCGACCTTAAAAAGGGAAGAAATTCTGACACATGCTACAACATGGATGAACCTTAAGGATATTATGCTAAAAGAAATAATTTCATCTCCTGTTCCACACTGATTTTCAAGAGACACTTGTTTAAAAAAATATATAATTTTTCTTTATTAATGTATAACAGATGTAAATACTTTTTATCATAGCAATGGCCCAAAACCCAGCTTTGCAGGAATATGACATCATATGAAAGGAACTGTAGGAATCTCAAGAAACTGTGAACTACCTCAAACGAGTAGTTTGCACTGTGTCTGACAGATGTCGCTATTTCCCTCTAAAATGTAAAATATCCTGCCGTGCACAACTTGGCACAAAGCTTGGGGACCCAAGTCTCAATACAGGCATCACTCCCGAGCCAAAACCATCTCCAAGAGAAATAATACATAATGGTTTTTATTTGCTTTTGATTCCGTTATTATGTAAGTCTTTTCTTAGTGGTACAAACTCAAAGCTAGTCAGCTGGGTATTATTAAGGCTATAAGACAATGGCTGAAAGTAGAAGCTTCAATTCCTAACAATGACAGCTACCACTAATTGCAGAATCTCACTTGTTATTTGCAAAAGCACTAACATCTTGAATATTATTTGGTAACTGAGCATACTGAAGCTTAGAAATGATAAGTAACTATCTCTAACTAGTCAAAGCCAGAAGTGGCTTAGCTTGCATCTGAACAGGGCCTAACTCCAACATTTGGTGCATTCCACCAAGCTGCCTCAATTTCTTAACTTATTAAATTACTCTGGCCACGTAAGAGATTGCTACAAAATCTCAACAATTTTATCCTTTCAGTCAAGAAAGGCACTAGTAAATTATTAAATGCAATAATACTCAAGTAGTAGGGTCAGTCACCAGGAAAATTCACGAGCTATGTAGTCATTTATAATTAGGGAAAGAAAATCTGTTTACAATTTGTTAATATTCTCAGAGCTCATAATAGTCTCTGAAAGAGAATAACCAATAAGAAAAAAAGTGACTCTTTTGGGTAAAAGATTTTTTTTTTTTTTGAGACAGAGTCTCGCTTTGTTGCCCAGGCTACAGTGAGTGCCATGGCATCAGCCTCGCTCACAGCAACCTCAAACTTCTGGACTCCAGCTTAATGCTTTTACTTTAGCATCAGAAAGTGAAAAAAAAATGCAGGCCTATGCCAAATGGTCACAAGTCTACAGGTAACAATGTGGACTTCTGTTTCCATTCCTAACTTATCATCCAACTGGAAATGTCACCATTAAATGGAAAAGGACCAAAATGTAACTTAATGATTAATCAACACAAGATAATATGGTATAAATATTAATAATGGGCAAATCGATGTTTCCATTACAATTTAGAAAAATCCACTATTCCTGTGCTAAAATAAGAATTTTAATTTCCCTGAATACTCGATCCTTGTATTCCTCAGATTTCAATTCACTATCTGCACAGAAAGGATAAACCAGTTTGGGAACAAATTCCTGAGCATCCACATAGTTACGGGAATTTCAGCCTAGAATCTTGATGAAACCTTAAAAGTCAGTTCTACCCCTATCAACTCCACTTACCTTTGCTGTTTTATAACAGAGTCAAAACCAATGGTTTCCACAGGTTTACTTCCGATTATAACAATTTGCTCTTTTCCATCTTCCTCTGGTCCATCTTCTAACACATAGCGGTTCTTAACTGCAGTAAGAAAGTCTATTCCAAAATTTACCTTGTTAGGACGAACAAAGGATCCTCCTGTTGGGTGCCTGGAAAAGCAGAAAAATAGAACACAGAAAATATCACCCATCAAGCAAGGTCATAAGTGCAGTGTTCTGAAGGTTTTCAAAAATTTTTATGTACTGAAAAATCAAAATCAGCATAAAAGAGAACATAATGTATTAAAGATACATATATGATTTCTCGTAAAGGGTTCTGAGCTTATGCATGTAAAATCTCTATAGATAAACAGATAAGAAATATGGAACAGATAATTGACATTAGAGAAAACAGAAGTATTAAATCCATGGGAGAAAGTTCTATCTTGCTAATGATTAAGAAATACAAATTCGAATAAACGATTTTCAACAAAACTGGCAAAAAATACAGAAAAAACATAAAACTCAAAGACTACAGGGTTTGGTTTGTCTATGATTGTATAATCATACTCCTGGGAATCTGTCAGTAGACAATAATTTAAAAACAAAAAACAAAATTGCATTTACAAAGATTTTGTCTAATAGCATTTATTTGTAATTGAGGAACTCTGGAAACCATAAAAATGCCCAGCTGGATAGAAACTATTAAGTAATCCAGATAGATGTGGTCATTTAAAAAATCTATTTGTGACACTTTTTAAAATTACTTGCAAAATAATGCTGACATTTACAAAAATTGAGCATAAATTGTACATGACACAATAAGAGGAACCATATCCACATATGGACAAAGACTGGATAAGGACACAAAGAAAACATTTGTTGGTGACAGGATTATATTCAAAATCTTTTAAATGGCAACAAACTTCAATACACTTTAAAAGCTTAAATATGGGATAAAAGAAAGCATGAGGGAAGAAGTCTACAAAACTATTGAATACTTTACAATTCATGTTCAGGTTTTATAGCAATTTTTACTAATAATCTCTAGCAGGATTTAATAGAAATATTAATTATATTGCTCTATGTAATGACCACTTTGTCAGGCTAAGAGATTCAAAATAGATTCTTTAAAAACTCATTAAACTCCAGCATTCATTATATCATCACAGTCATTATCTTCAGGAAAATCTAATTACGCTTTATAAAGCAGTTGTAAATGTTATTATAATTTGATCACTTTAGAAAATAAACAATAAAATATATGAATTATTTGAAATTGTATTATAAACACTATTTCAGCTTAAACCATTAACTCTAAAAGAAATCAGACCTTCTTAGAAGTCACCATAATTAAAAAGGATGAATACTAATATTAATGATAAATATTGTCAATATAAGCATATATACATTTTTTTCTAGGAAAGGGGTTCATAGCGATTACCAGACTGTAAAAGGGACTTGTGATCCCCAAAAATTAGAACCGATGCCCCAGGCGGGAGGAAGTGACCAGGAGGTAGTTAGAAACTCAGTGTAGTGTCCTGGAGGCCGATGAAAAAAGTGAACAACTGTGTCCAATGCTATGACCAGGCAAAGTAAGGTGACAGCAGAGGCCTGGCCACTGAATCCAGCAACCGCTCCGAAGTCTGGGTGGAGCAATGGGGCAGAAGCCTGACGGGGTGAGTCCCAGAGAGGAAGAGGACAGCGAGCACAGCCTGCTCTCGTCCCCAGGATTTTTACTGGAAAGGGAAGAAGAGGGACAAGAGAGCAAGGGGTACACATGTAAAAACAGGGAGATTTTTTAAGATGGGAGAAAATATCTAACGTGTATGTTGATGAAATTAATCCAGTGGAGTGGGGGAAATTGATGATGCAAGAAATTAAATTCTGTGTTGCAGCAAAATCAAGCTCTGAGTTTGTACAGTCTGCTGTGATATCAGAGGAAAACTGACTATCAGAAGCTGTTAAGAAAATATGCTATTATAACCCTAAGAAAGGCTCATACTGAAAACAATTCTGTTTTAACAAAAACTATTACAGGTGTATCCTTTAGCTAAAGAGATTAAATATAGCCAGCACCATTTTTAAAAGGTCAAAAGGATCTACCCAAGAGATTATCTAGTCCGGAGCTTCTCAAACTTAACCTGAAATGAGGAAAGTCACCTGGAAAGCTAACCAGAACCTACTTCAGAGATGCTCATTCATTCAGTGGGCCTAGGCTGGGGCCCAGGAATCTGCTTGTTTAAAAGAAAGATCCAGGCCAGGCATGGTGGCTCACACCTATAATCCTAGCACTCTGGGAGGCCCAGGCAGGAGAATTGCTCAAGGTCAGGAGTTTGAAACCAGCTTGAGCAAGAGGGAGACTCCGTCTCTACTAAAAATAGAAACAAATCAATTGGCCAACTAAAATATATAGAAAAAATTAGCCAAGCATGGTGGTGCATGCCTGTAGTCCCTGCTACTCAGGAGGCTGAGGCAGGAGGATTGCTTGAGCTCAGGAGTTTGAGGTTACTATGAGCTAGGCTGACACCACAGCACTCTAGCCCGGGCAACAGAGTGAGACTCTTGTCTCAAAAAAAAAAAAAAAAAAAAAGATCCAGAGGATTCTGATGCAGGTGTGCCTTGTACCACACTTGAAGAAACTCTGATCTAACCCAATCCCATTTCCATTGGGGACACTGAGGTCTACTGTTACAGAAGTAGCATCACTAAGACCTAAAATCCTGGGTTTCTGACTACCAGCACACTGTTCTTCCCCACATTTCTGTCTTGGCTTATAGACACAAATCAATGGTTTGGTTTTGTAAATTAAATAAATCTCTTAATTATAACCTAGTTAACATCTATGTTCCTAAAACTGGGGGTAGGGATGGGGGCCAGAGACGGGGCAGCGCAAGCTTTGGAGTTAGACAAACCTGGGTTCAGTTCCTGGATCCGTTACTTACTAGCTGTGTGAGCTCAGGCAACTGAATTTACATCTGTCAGCCAAAGCTTTCTCATCTATAAAGCCCTATCAAATGAGGTTACTTATAAGGATTACATAAACCATCTCCTTTATTGCCTGGCATATGCGCTATCTGCCCTTCATATACAGTTATTGTTTCTAAAATACTATTAAAAGTAAACTCACATATTTTGAAACACTGGGATAACCTAGAGGCCATACTCTCTAAACTTAACCGGCAGCTCCCCAACTCGTTCAAATGGGCTCCTGAGTATCTACACCATCAATGATGATATAATTTGATCACATGAACTACGTATAATTTTGCTAGAAAATATAGTTATAAATATAAGCATGATAAAGTCACATACAATTTCAGGTATAAAGTTGTTATCTATTTCAGTCATCTGCTGCTGCATAAAAACTCCACAAAGCACAGTGGCTTAAAAAGATGGCTTGATACTTTTTAAATTTCTGTAGGTTAGCTTGATTCACTGAGTTGTTATTCTATTTCACATGGTGGCAGCTGGGGTCATCTATGTGACTGCATTCAGCTGGGAGCTGGCTGAGGCGGAACCACTCAAGATGGCTTCACTCAGATTGCTGGCACTTCAGTTGGGGTGGCTGGAATGGTTGGGGGCTGGCTGGGCCCCTCTTCCCAACAGGGCACTTAGACTTCTCATGTGGTAACTGGCTTCCAAGACAGTGAAAACAGAAACTGCAAGGCCTCTTAAAGGCTAGTCCCAGAACTGACACATCACTGCTGTCACTTGTCAGAGCAGTCATGTGCCAGCTTAGGTTCAAGGGAAGGGAAAAGACAGTCCACATTTTCATGGGAGAAGCAGCAAGCATGACTAAAGACAGGAGGCATTACTGGCAGCCATCTTTGCTGACAATCTACCACGCTTACCCCTCCCACCAAAAAGACTGCCACATTGGACAAGCTCGGATGTGTCCTTCAAACCATCCAGGCCTCGCAGTCTGGGGGAGGGCAAAGAACCTCCTCTGCCAAATGCTGACCGTGGGCTCAAAGGACATAGTGTGACCCAGCTTTGGTGAATAAAGAGCAAGATCTCAGTATCCGCCCCCCCCCATCATGAACCTTGCCGTCCAGATTCACACAGGCTAAATCTACACAAATATCAACAACCAAATCTGAACTGCTTCAAATCAGATTTAAAAATGGGGAGGAAAAAAAAAAGGAAGAAAAAAAGATTTAAAAATGTGTGAGCAAAAACTTCAAGATATCCAATATCATTAATTTATGAATTTTTCATCTTTAAGCTTTCTTACACAAGTAAAAAATACATTAAACACCCATGTTTTCAATGTTCTACGGGAGCAGCAGCACCTACTGAGAAAATACTGTTACAACTCAACATTTGTGAGGGCTCCCCATGTGACAAGAATGGTACAAGGTGCTTTTATATTACAAATATCTCTATTTTACCAGGATCCTATGGGGCTCTCATGTCTACTGGAAAGAGCAGAAATGCAGGCCTGCTCCATGCCTCAGAGTAAGGGAACCGCTAAGAGGCGGCAGGCTGGATTTCAGAGCCATACTGAGTGCCTGCCATGTATTCCTGTTCTTGCTCTTTTTGAGCAGGAGTGTCCACTGCAGTTATTCTGTCCCCATCGTATCACTCTATGTAGGGTATGAGGAGTACAGATAACGTCACAGATCTCTGGATTGAGTGGCTCCTCTCGATCAAGTGCACCAGGAGACTGGTACCAAGGAGCTTCATCTGCATCTAGAACTAATTGAGATGACAATCCCCTGGACTTTGAGCCAATGTGAAAGGAGGTAAGCCTGCTCAAGGTGGAGTGAATTTTGCATGGGGCAGAAATGTGAATTGTTGTGACCAGAAGGTGAATTGTGGTAGATCATTTCCTCACATGGTTTCCAGCCCACGTGCCCTTTGGCAATTTGATTTTGCCACTTGCTCCCTTCAACAGAGTCTATTTCCCCTCCTCTTGAATCTGGACTCCCCCAGCGACTTGCTTTTGCCATGAGTAAGGACTAAGTCTCAAGAGACTTTGCAGTTTCCATTTTTACCCTCTTGGAAGCCAGACATGTGTAGAGAAGCTCAGGGCAGACTGTGCTGAAAGGCCATGGGGAGAGAGAGACTGACCCCATTTAGAGAAGACCCAAGGTCCAACCAGGCAACAGCCAGTACCACATCCCCAGTTGTGTAAGGCCATCTTGGATCCTCTAGCCCAACATCAC